CAACCGGTGGTAAATGATATTAATGAATTACCGCAACAACAAACAGCAACTACTCAAAAAATGATCAAAACACTGCCGAATTTCCGTGTGTGCATTTGTAGCCCGATCCTGCAGCATGTGTATCGGGGATTCCGGGACCCGGAACCCCGGCGCCGTTTCCCACGCGGCACGACACGCGGTAATGCACTGGCCTGGTCAATGGGCCGGCGATAAGCTCGAAATGGCCCGGCTCGGTCATTTGTCGTCGTTTTGCGGGCCGGCTGACGGGTGGGTCCGGTCGGCAGGACCACCGCTGTGCCCAGGTGCGGCCGGCAGCGTCTGCAGCGGGGGCAGGGGAACCCCGCCGGACAGCCGGCGGCGTGGCTCGGTCGTGGCGAGGTGCGCCGGCCCAGTGCCCACTGCGCGGCCGGCACAGGGCGCGGGACCGCCCGCCACGCCGCGTCCGGGTGCGGCCGTGGTCGCTTTCTCAGCCGGCCCTGTCCTCCTACCGTCCTCCTACTGTCCTGAGTGAGTGTCCTCCCACTGTCTCCCACACCTTCCGGTCTCCTCGAGGCTCGGAGAGAGGCAGTCTGCGGGTCTGACACAGCGCTGAAGTGCGCGTCGGATTGTAACCGGCGCTGCAAAACCACAAAATGGGTCAGGAGTCAAGACTGCAAACCCGGCTGGTGGAGCGAACATTTCACTTGTGATAGTTTCCGAGTAGTCTTAGACAGTGGACTAACGGTCTATAAAGTTTGATGGTTATGCGACGCGTGTAACCATTCGATTTATAGATCATAACTGAAAGAAGAGGGGCATGATCGTTTCATCTTGCTCTTGCGTACCAATAAATGAACTCCCAACTCCAATTCCAATAAATAAATGTACTTCCACCTTCATATGTGCATAGCTTCGGCTAGGCGGGAGCTGTATATATCATGTAGCCGTATCGGGAGCGGGAGATTTTCAGGTGACTAAAGTATCGTTATTTCAATTACCGTTTGTTTACACCTCCGATATGCTCAGCCACAAATCAACCACACATAGCAAAGGTCCGAACGCAGCGCGGATGATTGTGGTCGTTTGTTTCCAGAAACTAATGAGGTGTATGAATCGTGTTTGGACAGATTCTATACTTTGCCCCGAGTTTGTAAGTCTTCGCCGCGTCTAAGTCGTAACTCGTAAAGGTTTTACATACGTGCACGAACATCAGAATGTGGCTTTCCTTGCTAAGCTGCTTAGCAGTCAGCACAGTATGAATCATGTAATTTATTTTCAATAAAAAACAAAACACTGCTAGTTTTTTGAAGAGGAAAAAATCGTGCAAAAAAAAAAACATAATTTTGCGCAAAAGCCACTAAATCATGGATCAAAACCTTTTGTTTTCTTTTCATCCATGGATCAACTTCTGTTTCTGGCCACGTGCAGACAAGATCACATACCTATCAGGGACACGGCGTCACACGTCTAGGTCTAGATCGTGGTCGTCTGGCCATGCGGCGTATATAACGGTGGAAGGTGTTAGCTCTTGCCGCCAGTCAAAACACTGCACTGGTTGTGGGTTTTCCGGTATCTACCGTCCGTCCTTTCCGAGATAGTGACTCTGGTGAACAGGACGGCTCCAAGGATTATTACGATGCCCAGACATAACAATAACAAGTCCAGACACATGATACACTCGAAATTAAGAATGAAAGCAGACTACACGTAACGAATGAAAAATCAGCCACACCTACAGGCAGCGGCTGCTGACCAAAAGTCGTGCAGTGCGACACACTTGTCACGGAACCTAAAAATAGACCGATTGGGCGTTGGTGATCTAGAGAACCGTCAGCACTTAATTGGCTCAGCAATCATCACACCGAGTAGCAGCTGCTGGTGACGTCAGTTTGACGTCACGTGGTGTCAGCGATGTCACAGTTTTACAGACGCCCGTCTAGCCGGCCCATCCCTGGCGGCGGGCGCGGGCGCGGCGCTCCTGTCTGCCGGCGCTCCGTGCCGCCGGGGAACCCAGTCTGGACCGCTGCCAGACCGGGCCCGCGGCGCAGACTCGTCCGTTTACACTCCCGGACCTCTTGCCAAAAGAACTGAACGGGTGAGCAGAGATTCAGACTTTGTGCGATGCGCAATGTTTTGAACAGAGGTGCTCGTAGAGCTGATCATGCAGTCACCAGACCGAAGCTTTTCCAGGATCCATGCATGCTTGGGGTCCCATATAGGCTCCCTAGGGACCCCATGAGCGTTTAAGAGCTCCACGCCGGCTCCTGCCCCCCCCCCCGCAACGCCAGCTTCTGAGGGCCCTCAAGCTGGCTCCTGAGGCCTGAGGGCCCCACACTGACTCTTGCGGTCCCTTAGTCGGCTCCTTGGGGCACCATACCTGCTCTTGGGGTTTCACACAGGCTTCTTGGGCTCTCACACCGACACTTAAGGCCTCATACAAGCTCCTGAGAAGAACACCATCCGGATCCCACTTCGGTGTCTGAGAGCTCCCATTACGGTTTGTGGAGCCCTCACACTGGCCTCTGAAGTCTAAGGCCTCTACCACGACTCCAGGAGGCCCATGTCGGCTCCCGGAGACCGTACGCCGGTTCCGACTTTGCCGATTCATGAAGCTCAACACCGCCTCTTCTGAGGTCACTCACGGGCTCCTCAGCCCCGAGCCTCATGCTTACCTTCGAGAGTTCTTACACGGGCTCTTAGTAGGTACAACGTCGGTCTTTGACTCAGTTTGCTTTAGAGGACCCCCACGCCACTGATTGCCCCAGACAGGCTTCTTTTAAAACCTTCACCGGCATTACGACCCAATCCAGGCAGGCTCTGAGGGGTCACGCTAGCTTCTGAGGGACCCGAGCGGGCCGCCACCTAGGCGTCGCCGGAGGGGCCCACAGGGCTCTGAGAAACTTGCACCCCGCCGCCCTGATGTAAAAAATGCTTTCCGCCACCACTTGGTCTCATGAACCAAACCAGCATGATGCCCCCGGGAGCCATCATGGAGCCCATGGGCTGGTGCTGAGCTGAGCCGTCAGGAACCTCCGTGGGGGCCATTAAGGTCGGCATGTGGGCTCAGGATCTGGAGAAAGGGCCCGTGGGCCACGAGCCGGTGTTGTCTCCCAGGAGCCTGCGAGTTAAGGCCCTCGGAGTTCGGCGTAGGGATCTCAGAGGAGCATGTGAGTGAAGGCCCTCGGCAGGGGCGGATCCAGGAAAACTCCAAGGGGAGGGTTATGAATCGAAGTGGTGCCCCGACACTACCTATACTTGAAATTAAAAACTCAACGGATTTCGGCGAGGATCGCCGGCCGAGGGGGGATCGGGTGCCCTCCCCCCCTATATGTCTTTCGCGATAGCTCCGACCTCGCCGGTGATAGAGAGCTGATGTACTTGGCATACCTGACCTTTGATTCAAGTTGAATGTTTTCAGTTTTGACATCAACCGCATTTTCGGGTCAGGTCAGGTCACTGACCTATGACGTCCTAAGTGAACCTCTGCACGGTCTTCAGATGTCGCAACTTCGCAACGCCCTCACTGCCAGAGGAGCTTTCACAGGGAAATGAAACTTGCAGGACCTATAGTATCCATTTGGAGTCTCACAAATTTTACATCTCGGATTTTTCCTAAAGGTCATATGAGGTCAGGTCATTTTCGTGAACTCACCATATTATAAGTCAATAGGAAAGATGAAAACTGCTATTCTGGCGCCGGGAACGATCTCCAACTATCTCAAGTACACAGAATCGTGATTTCATGCACTCTTTGCAAGGTTCGATGAGTCACTTTTGCAATGTTGACCTTGCGTGACGTCATTTATAACGTCATTAGGGTCATATTAGTTTTTCGTCAATAATTCCCGATCGAATTGAGCTAGCGAGTCGGGAAAGCCACCAATGGACTCAGGGAGACCTGCCGAATCGAATGATATGCGACATGACTTCCTTCGACCAATTTCGTGACCTGTGGGTGGTGCTGACAGGCCCCTGGAAGGACTGTGGTGTCCCTGACAAACCTGAAGTGCCAACGACAGGCCCGTGGTGCCCCTGAGAGGTCCATAGTGCCCCTGAGAGGATCATTGTGCCCCTGCGAGGCTGGTGGTGCCCTTGCTAGGCCGCTAGTGCCCCTGGGCCTGGGCCCTGACAGAGCTGTGGTGCCCCTGACAAGCCTGAAGTGTCCCCGACAGGCACGTGGTACCCCTGACAGGACTGGGGTGCCCCTGACAGGACGGGGGTGCCCCTGACAGGCCCAAGGTGTCCCTGCAAGGCCGGTGGTGCCCCTGCAAGGCCTCTGGTGCCCCTGGCAGGTCTGTGGTGCCCCTGGCAGGTCTGTGATGCTCCTCGCAGGCATGTGGTGCTCTTGCTAGGCCGAAGGTGCTTCTGACAGGCCTGTGTGACAAGCTTGTGGTGCCCCTGACAGACCCGTGGCGCCCCTGCTAGGCCTGTGGCGCCCCTGGCGGACCTGTGGTGCCCCTGGGCCCCAAGGGGGATTCATGAGCCATGTGAGTTGTGACCCCCCCCCCCCCCCCCTCTCCTGGATCCGCCACTGGCCCTCGGAGTTCGGCGTAGGGATCTCAGAGCCAGCCAGTATGAGGGCCCAAAAAGCAGACCTCGCCGGCAAAATGTTAAATGACCACCACAGTCGACGGCCGGCGCGGCATAAGGCCGTATTCTGCCTTCTGACAAGCAGGTGACAGGAAGCAAAATATTACTTTACGGACGAAAGGCAATACGAAGGATTCCCTTCAAGCTTGTGCAAGATAAATTCCACGCACTAGTTACGAATGTGACGCAACTAAGAAATGACCTCCATTTGCTGTAACTCTACTCATTTTATTCAAATTTCAAAGCATTGTTTTCGAAAAATATTGATTGAATATAAATATCATATCTAAGGCTTTGTTAGTGAAGATAGAAAGAGCTTACAAGTGAAAAATTTACTACAAAAAAGTGTTACGTCATTTGTATGTTACGAACGCGCCATCTTATGAAAGCCGAAACACGTGTCCTTAAAAAGCACCTGAGTGAGAGAAACATGTGTGTGTGTTGTGTGCAACGAAATAGATAGATGTTGGAGGATTAAGTCTAGTTTTAAGACTTTTTCAAGCCTCAATAGTTTGAATGCGTCCAATATTTGTCCCTAATGGTGCATACAATAGAAGTCTGAAGACATTTGGATCATAGCACTATTTGATTTTCAACAATTATGAAGTTATTGCGCAAGGACATCGACAAGGACGGGAAAGGGTACCTATGCTTTTATTTGATGCATGAATTGTTTTCTTGTGTTAATATAGTATGCCTCAGCTTAGCGTGTTTCCTTTAATTTGGTCTCACAACCTGTTTGAAGTTCAGATATATCCAACATGGACCATATTTAATTATGTTCATCTTCAAACATCTGTCCAGTGAATTATGATTATAATATAATATAGTTCATTGACATTTTAATTTTATAGGCTATCTACCTGAACCTTGCAAGGATCATCAGTATTTGAAAAAGTGAAAGATGCCAGCTTATTCTGGTCATGGCTGGATGGCTCAGCGTCTGCGGATTCTTATGATACCTATACGCGATAGAAAGCTCTGCAGTTCAAATTATCTTATTGTTTCAGTTGAAGGTGATTTCCTCCTTTTGGATCCTTCAAAAACTGAAGAAATTAACATAACATAGATTGGCATCATATAGCCCATCCATATGGCCTTGGAAGTTGGAGAAAGCAGTAGGTTGAGGTATTACCCGACTGGAAAAAATGCACGCTTTCGTCGAGAACTCGAGCGTAGTTGGGCGTTTGCGCCCAAAATTTTCGGCGTACTTCGGCGTAAATCGACGGCTTGCGCCGAAATTTTCGGCGTACTTCGGCGTAAATCGCGAAAAAAACGTCCGGGGGTGGCACCAACCCCCCCCCCCTCGGCCGGCGAGGGTTCTTCGGGAGTTAAACATCTTAAATATCACTTATCTTGTCTCGTGTTCGTCTCAGGGTATTTAAGTCATGTTCAGTGAACCTGATTGCGACTCTCCCACGGCGGGAACAGTTCACCGATCCAGAGTGAGGTTATGGATTGTCGGATCCCCTAGTTCAGATAACGTATGCTATCGTGTGCGTATTGACCGTTGTGATTCCTGTATTTCCGGCGTGTGGTTTGTGAGCGGACGCTGGCAATCGGTCCCGCGTGGCCTGGTATCTGCCCGATCCCATCGGCCGTGCTTGCACCACGCCTGTTGAAGGCCCCGTCAGGCGTCAGTCACCGGCTGGGCACTACTGCTGATCAGAGCCGGGCAACAAAATAAAGGTTACGTTATGGAACATGCCAGTGAGTTTGTGAGTCAGGAGATTTTGTGATAGCGAACCCTGGTGCTCGGTCCCGCATGGCCTGCTGATGTCTTTTGTCTGCCCGATCCCGTCGACCGTGCCAACAACCGTCTGTAGACAGTAGTCACTGGAAGACAGTCACACACACACGCCAGCCCCCCCCCCTCGACAAAAAGTGTGTGGCTACAGCCTGCAGCCATCAGTAAGCCTTGAAAATTTTTGGCGCATGAAGCATGGCTTGGTAAAATAATTTCGGCGCATAAACCCTTGCGCCGAAATTTCGGCGCATCACCTCCGCCGAGAACTTCAGCGTAGTGGAGGCATTTTTTCCAGTCGGGAGGTATTATACTTAACTAATCATTAGTTTTGGAAAACAAATTTTGATTAACCCCAATGCCCACAACTGACCTCAAGTGAATGGGGGGGGGGGGGGCTGGCAATTGCTGCCAACTTCTGATACAGACAGATATTCAATTTCTTATTTCTGCTAAGTCTTGAAGGGTTATTTTGCTCTTAATAAATTACATTTTGCACTACAGAAATTATCCAATCAGATCACACTGGCAGGTTGAAGTTCTTGAATGCCAGGCAGATCAACCTCAGATCGCCATCATGTGATAGTAAGACAACTTTTAGATGACTGACCAGAGAAGGGCTTCAGCCACATTCTTGCGCAAGTTACGCTGGATAACTCCAAAAATTTGGAAGAAAAACTGATTGCCTACCTAATTGTTTGTTTCAGAATTGTTGCGTTGATTCCTGAGGATGCTGAGGACATTTGGCACGCCTACAATCTCATCCACCCGGGAGATGCAATTCGAGCCTCAACAATCAGGTGAGCTAGCTGTATGTGTAAGCTTTTTCATGCTTCGCGGTTTACGTTCCTGACCGAATGTGACCCCAAGTTATTCAAGGGCGTCTTAGTCATCTTGGCTCTCATTCATGTTCGTCCGTTCATTTTATATTGTACGTTGCTGCAATAACAAAAACACATCCCATCACCCTGTCCTAAGCTCTCTCCAGCTCTCCCTCCGACTCCCTACTCTGAGTCGTTGCCAAGCAACCGTTGGCATGACAACCAATCTGGGCACTCCGATTGGCTAAGGTTTCCCGCCATACCGGGATCACGGATTGTGAAGGATGCTCAGTTGCAATTGCATGCAACTGGCCTCGGGGCACCTCTCCCGAGGTGGATCCACAATCCACCTACATCCCCCCATCGCCAAATCAAGACCTGGGCTCGCGCTTGAAGAGACGGGCATGCCTCGCGAGGGCCACATACGCACACAAGCACGATTAATTTAACATGTAACACACTGCTCGTTAGCGCACAGCTCGCGAACGAAAGCGATCCATTGTGCAGAGCATATTGCACATCTCTGGCGTACGAGCGGCGGACGCGATACATTATTAACATACGCGACAGAAAATACACAAGTGGCAATACACAAGCAGTTCATAGCACATGATCACACCCCTCGAATGCCCCTTTGATTGGCTCGCTACCGATATGGGATCCCTCTTAATCGGCATTGGCTGCGCATGACTCCAACCAGTCGGGGTGCTTACGAGTTAACAGGAATCATGATTTATTGCCGTTGTGACTCCGTGCCAGCTTGGTGGCGCTCACACAAGAAAACTATGTACATAATACACATATGTGTCAAACGACACGGCTACAAACTCACATTGGGTTGAAGCGGTCTGGAGGATGTCGCTGGCGCGTCGATCTCCGGGGTGTCGGCACGGGCAACGGCGACCTTTTAACCTGTTGGGCTTCAATTACCTGCAAACCAACTGACGTACTCGGGTCCCACTCAGATCCTGAGCACCGGTCATCAGTCTCAGCCGCCGTCTGATCCTCGGACTCGACCTTATTCCCCGAGTCACTTACCGTGGCCCGACTCGTCCCAGGTGCACCCGCAGTGCTGCCGGTACACGGTCCGCCAGCGGGGTCGCTGGGCTCTGGATGGGTAGCGCTCAACATCTGATTGTCAGTGCTTACCGAAACGCTCCTATCTCTTACCACAGCTCTCTCGCTCGCTGTCTGGGGTGTGCGACGCCGGGTCCTAGCTGTTGGACTTAGCCGGTTGTGGTGCACTATGATTGTCCTTCGTGAGCCCTCTAGCTGCACCCGATAATTCATGTCGCTCACTTTGGCCTTAATGATAGCTGGTTTGTATGGCCGGATAAACTTATAGTACTGCCCTCGCGGTACTACTCCTCGGTGGAGCAAAACTCTGTCTCCCGGCTCATAAGTAAACTGGTTCAGTTTCGTCTCATAAATGGCCTTATTTTTGGTGTGACTCGAGTTGGACGACTGCAGCGCCTCGGTGTGCATTTTCTGGAGACTGGCTTGCAAATTCTCAAAGTATTCGATCACCGTTTTAGACCGATTCCGTATAGGGCTGTCCAAGCTGATTTCCCCTGGGAGCCTGACACTTCTCCCGAACATCAATTCATGTGGGGAAAAACCTAGTGAACGGTGGACCTGTGACCGATATCCCAGCATCAGAAGGGGCAAATGCTCATCCCACTTGTCATGGTCACTCGTCTCCAGATACTTTGACAACATTGCCAAAATGGTTCTGTTGACCCGTTCCACTACTCCGTTGCCCATTGGGTGACAACTGCTGATCGTTGATCGTTCTATTCCCAACATATCGCATGTTTTAGTTAAAACGTCGCCCACGAAAGAACCTCCTTTGTCAGAGTGAATTCGCGAGGGTAACCCGAATCTGCTAATGAAATCATTCACCAGCACCCTAGCTACACTGAGTGCCGTGAGATCGCGCAGAGGGTACACCTCACACCACCGAGAGAAGTGGTCAACAACGACTAAAAGATGTTTATTGCCGTTTGTAGTGCACGGCAGCCCCGAGAGAATATCCATTCCCACCACCTCCATTGGTCGGGATGCGGACAACTGGCCTAACGAAGCTCTCGGTGCAGGAGCTGGAGGGTTTCTCGTCTCGCACCGCTCGCACTGATCGCAGAATTCCTGCGCATCCCGCCGAACGGATGGCCACCACATCCGAGCTCTGATTTGTGCGATCAATTTATCAGCTGCAAAATGGCCACCTGACGGGCCACCGTGCGTCGAGCTGAGCACCTCCCGTACCAGTGTCTGTGGTACCACCACCTGCAACTGATCCTCATCTGAGGGACGCCTGCGATAAACCCGGTACAAAACGCCGCCCAGTAACCGCAATTTGGCCCAGTGCGAAAGGTAGGGCACGCTGTGCTTTAACGCTTTCTTATGCGGCTTCTGTCCCCGCGAGAGGTGGTCGGTAATCTCCGCTATCGCCGCGTCGCTTTGCTGTTCATTCTTAATGAAACTCAAAGACCAGTCGAGGCAGTGAATCATGCGGCGACACTGATCCTCTTCGGTCTGTGTCGCGACGTCAGCCGTCGGCTCGGGTCGGCGGCTGAGGGCGTCTGCTGCAGTATTCTCCTTCCCCGGTTTGTAAGCAATGCTAAATGAATACTGACTGAGTGTCTCTAACCAGCGCGCCAGCATCCCTGAAGGGTTTTTGAATTGCATCAGCCACTGTAGGGACGCATGATCACTCCGTAGCGAAAAACGTTTTCCAACCAAATATGGATGGAACAATCGCACAAAGACAACAACACTTAACAACTCCTTTTTAGTGACACCGTAATTTTTCTCGCTTTTTGACATTCGTCTGCTACCATAGGCTATGAGTCGCTCCTTTCCATCTTGTCGTTGCAGTAACACGGCTCCTACCGCGTCATCTGAAGCGTCACACTCTAAAATGAACTCCCCTGCATCCTTGTCGAAACGGGGCAAGGCGAGAACTGGTGCGCTGCACAGCGCGTCCTTTAGCCGGTCAAACGCTGCCTGAGCATCATTGCTCCAAATGAATCGTACGTCTTTGTTTGTCAGACGGAAAAGAGGGGCTGCTAGGGAAGCGAACCCGGATATATATTTCCGGAAATAGGCAGCGAGGCCCAAAAAACGTGCCAGCTGCTTAGCAGTTTTAGGCACGGGCCACTGTCGAACTTTCTCGACTTTGACGGGATCGGCCCTCAGACCGTCCTCTGACACCACATGACCTAGGAAGGTCACACTGGGCTGGAACCAGAGACACTTTTTCAAATTCAGTGTCAGACCTGCGTCATTCAGTCGACCCAGAACGGTATCTAGATTGGTCAATAGCTCATCGAATGAACGACCATGTAGAATGACGTCATCAAAATAGCTCAGAACAACTTTGGGTGAGAGATCAGCCAACACAATGTCCAACAATCGGGCGCACGTGGCTGGCGACCCGGACAGACCCATGGGCATACGCCGGTGGCGGTACGACCCGAATGGCGTCACAATAGTAGTCTTGTCACGATCTTTGGAATCGACAGACACCTGATAGAACGCCGAATTAAAGTCGAGGACTATGAAAAGAGAGCTCCCCGCTAAAGCCTCTAACGTGTCGTCTATCCTGGGGATATGGTACGCTGGAACGGTAGTCTCAGCATTCAACCGTCGGAAATCAGCACAGATGCGTAACTTCCCGTTCCGACGCCTCACTAGACAGATGGGAGACGCCCATGTCCCTTCCGATTCCTCTAGGACTCCCTGGGTTACCAGTTCATCGAGAGCACCTTTAACTTCCTCCCTGAGATGTGGAGGAATGCGACGTGGAGCCTGACGAATGGGAGCGCAGGAACCGGTGTCGATAGAGTGGGTTACCAGTTCAGAATGTCCCAAATGACCGTCAAACATCGACTCGTACCGCCCCAATACGTCCCAAAATCGCTCTTTTTGCTCCCGAGATATATTACTGCCCTCTAGAGTTACTTTCTCCTTGAAATCGGGCGGTTTGTCCTGTGGTCCTGTGGCTAGCTGACACCGCTGTTCCACATCGGACTCCTCGACAAACCCAACTTCCAACTGAGCCAACTCAGAGCGTCTCGGAACTGAAATCGGCTCAGAACTGATATTTCGGACGGCAACTGGAACCGAATCGCTTGAAACATTCACTAAAGCACTAACAATTTCTAAATTCTCGATTTCCAGGATTGGCTCTACCATTGCGGGTCCCCTGTAATCACAGTTGGGCAAAAATCCACGTAAAATGAGCTCAGCACCCGGCGGTACTGAAATGTCTTTTGCGTTCACGACTTTCCCTACTGAGACTGCTTCAACCGAAATCGATCTCACCGACTCAGCGGGCGCCAAGATAAGACAGCGCCGTTTCATGTCAATGACACACGGACACACGCGCAAAAATTCTAGACCCAGCAGAACGGGAACATCAATCTTATCAGAAACATAGCACGGTATTGTGTACTGCAAGTTTGCTATTTCAAAGCACAAAACTACACGTCCTAGCAGTGGAAGAGCTTCTTGCGATGCTGTGCGGGCTACGGTCGCCGTGGGCTGAATGCGTGGTGCGCGGGGCAACATATCTAAGGCAGCTTTAGATATAACATTTAAACTCGACCCCGTATCAAGCAAACACGAACATTCTGCCCCTGCGACACGAGCCGTAAAGGTCATAGACGGACTTAGGGGAACATGTTTGCTGGCTGTGGCTCCGGAATCTCCCGGAGCCTCTGCTAGTTTCCCTGACCGCGCTCCCGGCACATCGACTGCCGATGTCCCTTTTTACCGCACAGTGAGCAGCTATCGTTCCGATTGGGACATGTCCGTTTTACATGGCCTGACTCACCGCAAGTCCAACAGACTCTGGGGCTGTCTGTCCGGCGATCAGATGGCGGGCGAGGATCTGACCTGGCTCGAGCTGACCTTTGACTCGGAGCCGATGTCACCGTGCCGGCCGACATCCCGAGAGATGACGCAGCCAGCTGACTCTCCAGTTCGCTCACCCTCCGTTGGAGCTGCTGGATCAAATCAGAGTCAGAGCGATCGAGCTGTCGCACGGAGGCGCCAATATCACCAGCTGCCGAAGCGGCACTCCTGATATTGCGTACTTTTCCTACCGCATCCTCAAAGCTAGTGATCCCCGCAGCAATGACAGCGCTACGATAGACGGCGGGAAGGGCTGACAAAAAGTAATTCAGCAAGATCGTGTCAGAGACCTGGCCTGGGTAAGCACCAGCCATCTGTTTCTTGAAACGAATGACAAAGTTGTCAAGTGATTCGCTAGGATCATAAGTTAGCTTTTGAAGCGTGAGATGCTTTTCTAGCGAGCTGGGGACACCAAAACTTTTCCTGAGCCCCGATACGACATCATCAAACGTTTCCTTGCGGCCCTCTGGAATAGCGTCATATGCGTCTCTGGCAATGCCGATTAAACACAGGGGTACAATCGTTCGCTTTTTCGCGTCATCCCATCCCTGAAGGGAAGCATAAATCGTGAAATCCTCAACGAACCTATTTAGCGAACCATCCCCATCAAATTTAGGCAAACCTAGCGCCAATGAAGACATTGTTATATCATTAACACACAAATCGTTCACATTAGAGCCCTCAGCATTTCCCTGCTGCGAAAGAGTCCACTCCCGTCTCTGCGACCGAGTCCGAGCCGCCATTCGCTTACCGGAACAGGCTGCTGCAGCTCCATTTACCCGGATACCTCGCAGAAACACTTCTGGGGCAGCGTCCCAGTCTTTTAGATCATGTTATGTCCCACTTGGACGCCCCTGGCTTTTCTTTACCGGAGAAATTATCTCGGAGAGCAAGTTACTGAACACAAACTGTAAAAGTCATTGAAAACATTGCATATTCTGACTGGTTTCGGTCTTGAAATAGGTGTCTTGCAAAAGCTCGATGTATCTTCCAGCAGAACGATTCACCACCGACATTTTCATCACGAAAGTAAACATAAGACCATGCTTTGACTGTTCCTCGAGGTCTTAGGGCTTGGTAGCTTGCCTGGCATCATTCGTGCATAACAGACCATTGGATCACCGGCAACGTGCCTGACATGACCTTTTGCCGCTCATCTGTCGTGCGACAAAATCAACCAAATAAAGCCTTGAATGAGTCACGCACTAGCATCGTCCACACTGCAGCGTAGCATTGCAGTTTGCATATTGCCGTCTTCAAAATCAAATCAGTGCTCCAGCCTGATTCAAATCGTGTCAGGCATTAACTTCTGAATTGAGATGTCATCAAAATCAGAAGAAGATCTTGGACGATAGACTTGGATCTTTAGGTGTATTTGGATGACAGTATTGCAGCCGTTACAGATCAGTGACATTCGAGAGCTCATAAAATGAGAAGGAAGTTTTCCGCTGCCACCATTGTAAGCTTTTCATGCTTCGCGGTTTACGTTCCTGACCGAATGTGACCCCAAGTTATTCAAGGGCGTCTTAGTCATCTTGGCTCTCATTCATGTTCGTCCGTTCATTTTATATTGTACGTTGCTGCAATAACAAAAACACATCCCATCACCCTGTCCTAAGCTCTCTCCAGCTCTCCCTCCGACTCCCTACTCTGAGTCGTTGCCAAGCAACCGTTGGCATGACAACCAATCTGGGCACTCCGATTGGCTAAGGTTTCCCGCCATACCGGGATCACGGATTGTGAAGGATGCTCAGTTGCAATTGCATGCAACTGGCCTCGGGGCACCTCTCCCGAGGTGGATCCACAATCCACCTACATATGTGTGTTTCTGTGTGTATTGCTAACGAAAACTTACCTCATCGAACAACCCTGATCGAACTTTCCGGCATCAGGTTTCCCTCTTCCCGGTCTTCCCTGGGCCACCTACCAGGCTGGCGGACAACCCCTGGGGCAGGTTTGTTGTCAGGGGGGCTCCTCATTTGCGGTGACCGCCGCATAACGAGGTACGAGCCAGCGCAAGTGGAGCCGACGGGTCGTCTCGTCCTAGTTCGGCATGAACCGTGAGGCTTTCAGTCTGGTGAAATTTTCATGTGTATAGTCGTCAAGTGTGTTTAGTAGATGTTTTTGTGTGCAGAAGGGTGTTTTAACTTTTATCGGTTGCAACCTATTTTATTCAGTGTTTTATGCTTAACAGTCCGACGTTATGGGTGCCTTTGTAGTCGGAGGCGCGCCCCCTGTCCCCCCAAAAAATCATCATTATTGAGCAATGCCAATTGTGATAAGATACTGTTGCAACCTATGCGAACCGATGTGTATTTTGCATCACCACAGGATTTTATGGAGAGGTCAGCCTGATACCTAAACAGTAGACAATGCAGCATTGAAATGTTATACAGAAAACTCCATATTAATCCGACTTATGCAGTAACTTGAGTGAGTTTTATTAGTAACATTTTCTTCTTTCTCAAGCAGTAGTCATGAAAGTGAATTGTTCCTTCGACATGTCCAGTGTACAGTACACAATACACATATATGTCTTGCTACTATTCAGTCCGGGTACTTGTTACTACCCGACCGAGTCGGCCACGGGCTCCCGATCTAGTAACTTTGTAACCTTCTCCCTTCACCCGCAGGAAGGTGCATACCTAGTCGGCCACGGGCTCGTCGTCCAGTTACATTGTAACCGCCCCCCTTCACCTGCAGGAAGGTGCATACCTAGTCGGCGATGGGCTCGTCGTCCAGTTACATTGTAACCTTCTCCCTCCGCCCTCAGGAAGGTGCAGACCGAGTCGGCCACGGGCTCCTCCTCCAGTAACCGAGTGCGCACCACGCTCACCATTCAGGCGGAGGATATGGACTTTGACACACACGCGGCCGTGCTGCGCATCAAGGGCAGGAACGTGGAGGAGAACCAGTATGTCAAGGTACGGTGCCGCCTTAGCGAGCTACGAGAAGGTGTAACGATAGTGTTCTAAAATTGGATTTTGGTTGGGTGTGCCGATGAAGAAAAAAATCCTAGGATGAGAAAAAAGGAAATAAATAACCGAAGTATATTTGCAAAATGGTGTAATGCCAATTTGTATGCCAACTGCTAAACCAGGATTTCATGTCAGAATCTTGACAGGGTGTGAAACAAAAGGATGTGGGTGCATCAACTGTCAAGTGACATGTAAACTGGCTGTTGGGAATACATGAAACTTTTTTCAGAGATGAAGTAAAGTCGGTCATTCATATTTTAGGGATGAAAGTATTTTCCCCATTAGGTGTGATTTGCCACCAAAAAGTCTGAATAATGGAACACTGTGTACCGAAGGGTAAACGGTTGATCTTACATTGGCGCTAGTATCGGGTCCAGAGTGTTAGATTGAAGCATTTCGGAGGTCTGCTCCAGACAGCTCCGAATGGGGGTAGACGACCTATGCCTACAGTTTATTTGGTGCATTTTTTTTTATCTAGCTTTAACAAATTGCCAAATGCAGTATCACTGATGGTTTTAGTATTTTAATATTAAGTGTAAAACCACTGTCTGTCAGATGCGTTTGTTTATTTTTTTAACATATCGTGGTTGAAATAGGGAATCGTGTTTCTGTGTTATCCGGCCCTAAGTGTCACGAGTGCAGGAGAGAAGTTCCTTTTTCTGGTTTACGAGCTTATTTTTCTCTCTGACAGATGGGAGCGTACCACACCCTGGACATAGAAGCCAACCGGAAGTTCTCTCTGCAGAAGAATTACTGGGACTCCATCTCCATCGAGCGGGTGGAGATGGCCTGTGACCCCACTCAGGTACGGCCCCTGGCGACGACGATAGTTAGCTTCGGTCATTGTGATGATGGTTGGGCGTTTTAAAGACATCTTTTCGTGAAATATCGTAACAGAAAGGTTGCATTTTTATTGGTAGGAAAATATTTGCCAACACATTCAGAGCAGATGCTTTGCTGGCTGACGATCGCTGTTTTCATTTATTCTTCCGTCCGCTGCCAGGTCCCCTGTAATCTCTGCTTGATTTTCCGTTTGGCCGCCCTGGTGACCTTGTGACGCTGTGTGCCGGGCAGCACGCGGATCTGGCCGCGGTGGTTATGCAGGAGGGTATAGCTCACGTCTGCCTGGTCACCTCCTGTATGACGATCGTGAGAGCCAAGATCGACCAGTCCATCCCCAGGAAACGCAAGGGACACACCTCGCAGCACGAGAAGGTGAGGTGTTTGTGAAGTAACTGGTGGCTAAGTGTGAGTTAGTAAGTTTACTTGGGAAACCCCTTGTCGCTGTGTTGGTGACTTTCACTGCTGTCAGCTCGTTGTTTTACTATTCCTGCAGTGTCGATGTTCGATCCTGTCGTTTTACGGTTTTAGATGGCATGGACGGACGTTGACATGATACATATGATCTCAACTTTTTGGTCGAATGTTGTCATTGTATTGCATTCAACTTCACGCTACGGGGGCAATTAATGTGTTATTATGTACGAGCTATCATATCACGTGCTATCATATTTAGGCGAAATGCTAGCTCCTCAGAGGCCTCCATATTCTAGATGGCGAGTTTTGTGGCGCTGGCGTCACACAGTGGGCCAGGCGCTTCAAAAAAGCGGAATTAAATCAATGAGCACAGCTGCGGTGCCAAAAATGATTCGTTACAGGGTAAAATATCATGCTAAAGCCGAATCCGATATCCATTTTCAAATTTGATTGGTTACGCTAGGTCACTGACCTATGACGTCATTATTTAATTTCTGCGCTGCACATATGCCTGGGACATGCGGGCACTATGCCGCATTGGCCGCGCGTTTGCAGTCTTTTCGTGGTTTCAAGCGTTCAAACATGTGATATGATGTTGCCCCCATGCTTTAGGGTGGGTGTAAAGGTCACCTGAAGGTCAGGTCAGGTCATTGACCTTCGCTGACCTCGGTTCACTTTTTCGAGTTTTACATGTTTCTGGGCTAGTTTTTGGAGCTGAATTCGAATTTAGGAACCATTTGAACATTTACGAAGTAGTTTTGGTGCCTTCGTAACATGTTACGAAGCTGTCAGAGGCGGGTTGACACCTACTACGAATACCCGGCAGGACCCATACTGGTTGACCTGACCTGAGCTGACCCGACCTGGCCTAAATGCATGAAGACATCATCTGTGATCAAAACTAACATGATATTCGTGATCAGCATCCCGAAAAACCCCTTAGCAGCCACACTATACGACGTTCTAACAAGTCCCGACTTTCGGCCATTGACCTGACCTCAGAGGTCACCATTTGAACTATGACCTTAAAACCGGGTACCGTTGGCTTCGTCTCATGACGACCTACACGATGGTTTTTTCCGCGAGGCTCTAGCTCAATTAGGGGCCAAACGCGAGGAGGGTCGCATCCCCCTGTGCCGTCGAGGGATGCAAAAAGGCCTATGCCGGCGAGGGTTAAACCCTTATTTGTCCATTTCGCGCAAAAATGCGCAAAATATTTGGATTGGGCAGCAAGCTATACACCTTGAGGAAAGTCAGGCAGCAAATATCTTCGTGTTGTTCGGTGACGTTTTCTTTATATCCTTATATAAATTCATTGCGTCGTTGCACTACCACGGTTCCGAACAGGCACTGTAAACCCCACCGCTACTAGTAAGCATGAAATAGTTCCCGGGAACTTGAGTACGAGAAACATGCGCAGAAATACCGGCTGTTTTTTTAAGCTATTTTGTACGGAATAACTTTAATGATTTTACGCTGAGAGCTTTTGAATCGGGGGAACGGAAAATGGCACACAGCAGTCATTTCCATCTCCAGTCGGTAAGTCCTACTTTGCGACGTTATAGCATTATCTGCCTTGACATTAGGGAAAGGAAACTTGCTTATTCGGAAATTTTGGACATTTTTACAATACTCTATCCCATAATTACAGGAATTTCACCGAAGTTGATTTTCGACTTAATTCCGCTTTTTTGATGCGCCTGGCCCACTGTGCGTCAGCGGCCGATGTATGAAGCGTACCATTTCACTATGGACACCAGATGTCGCTGTATGGCGGTGTTCGGTGCAGTTCCTAGTTCCTACTATCCAGAGGTAGCCGATGAGTGTATGTACGTGATTCAGTTGCCCTTGGTGTGATATTCCTGTGGTTTTGATGGCTATGAATTCATACCAAACGGATGTTATTTCTGTCGTAATAGGATTGCTTTGCGCTTTTCAAAAGGCTCCTAGCCAGTTAGATTTACCCCATTTACCACTGCTTTTATCAATCTGACCGCGGGTGTGTGGCGTTCGATCCCCAGGGCCTGCAGAGGTTTTTCGAGACGGTGATGCAGGCGGTGTTGCGCCACGTGCGGCTGGACGTGGTGAAGTGTGTGCTGATCGCCAGTCCCGGCTTCGTCAAGGACCAGTTCGCCGAGTACATGTGGCAGATGGCGTTCAAGACGGACAACAAACAGCTGCTGGAGAGCAAGGGCAAGTTTCTGCTGGTACACGCCTCGTCCGGCTTCAAACACTCGCTCAAAGGTCAGTCACATAGCGGGTCGGAGTGGAACATCTGTTGATGGGTGGGCATCAGCTGCTGGTGCCGTTATAGAGTGGTTTTTACGTGCATTAGGCCTCAGCGATGCACAGGACCAGAATACGAGTATGTACGAAGGCTTTATCAATATTTTCGACGCAATCCAGCCTCTGACATCGCTATTTTCTTAAATGGTAAAATTCCGCGATTTAGAGTACCGACTCTAAATTTTCGTACTCTTTGGTAATATTTCTGCTTCTGCAGATATGTTGTATATAATGTCATTGCATTACAGTTTTATGCTATTGACCGGATTTTTTTTTAATAGCGCTGTACAGACATAACATTGCTAACACGCCAATGTCACATGTCACATCTGAAACGATTGCTCAAACAAACGGCTTGCCGTCTTTCCATGTTTTTTTTTCTTTTGGTTAGATGCAGAATCCTTTCAAATTGCAACATCTGGTAGTCACATTCCGACGTGCTGTATAGTGTATAATATGGGATCTAACAGGTTCCATCATGAGGTGGCTCCTAATGGACGATGTCGTCACTGAAACGGCCTAATGCATGGCGAATATTCTGACCCATGTATTTCGCAGTCTTATCGCATGGTCTATACCGTGTCGGGAGTGAATTAAAAAGGAGTCAAAGCTTTGTACTGTTGCGGTAGCGGTGTTACTTATTCATCCTCGCTCTGTGTTTTCTGAGGACTTTTGCGGATTGCTACGGTGATCCAGTTCATTACGTGTTATATTCATTAACAAGATGCTGCACAGCGATTTCGGGGTCTGTCTGACACTATGGCGTGATTAAGTTCCATCTTCACCGTTTGGTTGTCTGTACCGGGAAACGTCCGGCACTGCGTGATGACAGACTCATAAGGCTGCCAATGCAGTTTGAGCAGAGTTGAAAAACTGATTGAAACGTCGGAGCTCGTATAGTAAGGGGAGGACTGGTGGTGTTAAGTGTTGGGGTAGATGGCTTTGAGAGAGTGGGTGCCGTGACGATCTCTGCTCATTAATCGAAGAACTTCCTCGCTTCTGCTTTTAAGTTTAGTTTAACTGATAATCTGCAGCTGAAGATATTCGTGATTTGTTGCGTACAGTTTCACCACGCCACGCCTTTACTCATGCCGGAACATTTACTTAATGATTTAATGGGGCCAAATATCTGCATAAGCACCAGCTGAAGTTATATAAACGTCCACGAGATAAAATTGTGGTGATATTGCGACGAGGTGGTGAGCACTGTCGTCTGTTTTTCGTTTAGAACAGTCTGTGATCTGCGTACCAGGGTGGTCTCAAAGCCAGGGCTGTACCGTAATTATTTTAATGCTATGCTAATGTGATAGCGGAGCCGAGTGAAACTTTACGTTTGCGTCATCCTGGTATTCCCTGTATTGTTAGAGTAAAATGCTCCACTTCATATTTTGATTCTTCAAAGTTTGCAGATACGCTGATGCAAGATTTCCGGGAACTCAGGTTTGTTATTTTTCCCCCATAGAAAACACAATTCTGACGTCTTTGTTTTTTAAAAAGAACAACACAATTTTAGCGAAGAGTGTTTTTAACTATTGAACACAAACCTTCAGTTATTATTCCCGATGGTGGACTTCGCTGTTTAGAATGATCTTGCAGCTTTTTTAGTGGCATACTTTAGTGCCGTATGTCAGAATACCTGATATGGTACTAAATAATGGCTACATCAATATGAGTAGCCTCAATGGCGTGTGGTATGGGTTGGTCCGGACATCATCATTTGGCGTTCATTGGGGACCAATATTGGCTGGCAGCCCCCCTAGTGTATTACACGTTTACCAGTAATTGCTGGCATTATCGCCTCACCACTGTTTCACTTCTATGAGCGATGTTGTTATGTGATGCTATCAATTATATGTAAAGCTCATGATGACAGGCAGCAATGGACATTGGCCCATAGCGGATGATTATAGGTCACTCGGGTAAATACATGCGTCCAATGCCCATTGCGCCTCATATACTTATCTTTGCAACTACAGCAAATTGAGCCGCTGCTCAACTGTCTGTCATTATGTAATACAGTAGCATGCAATGTGATGCAGGGGCGGCGGATTCGGGGGGGCAGGGGGGGCAGCTGCCCCCCTGGCAAACTCGTGGGGGGGCAAAAGTATCTTTTTGCCCCCCCCCATAATTTGTGACAAAGCTTAGACAAAAAACCATATACCTGATTATGCTGTTCGATCATCTGAAGATGTAACCAGATGCCCATATACTTTATCATACGTTGCCTTTCTTAAATGGCAAGCGTTCGCGTTCAATTGAAGTTTTCCTCTCTTCAACCTAGTTTTAGAGGCATTATAAGCGTCAACGTGACGCAGCGGCAACCCAGGCCTTCAGTGATCGCTTACAGGGGCGACGGATACGGGGTGGCAGAGGAGGCATCGTCCCCTAAGAAACTTTTGGAGGAGGGGCAAACGTATATTCTTGCCCCTCCATAATTTGTGCCCTAAACATGAGGAAAATTTCCATAACCTGATATTGCAGCTATGCGCTCCTACAGTTTGTCCAACGGTGCCTTTTGAATATGTGTAAATGCTAACCATTTCCGCTTTATATCATTTTTTTTTTGTCTTTTCAGATTCGATTTAGAGATATTTTAAGTGTGCAAGAGACGCAACTCATACCTTCAGTGGCTGTTTGCCGCTATTTTGTACCTACATAAATGCCAATTCGCAAGCGAGCGGAGACGGAAGGGCTAGCCATTCGCTTGCGGGTAGTTAGGACTAATGAGCGCTCATAATAAGCCACTCCCCGGATTTTTTTTTTCGAGCGCAACAGTTTCCAGCGCATAAAATGGTAAACGCCGAGGTCGTACACATTTACCACATTGACCAATGCACGGTATGGTATGACACCCAAAGGCCAGTCATCAGAGATCTGCTTTGGGCATTCGGAGGCTGGTGTGGGGCCAGTGTAAACACTGGATGTTCACAGTTCAGTATCCGCTTTATTTCAATTTCACTATTAAAAAAGTAAAAATTAATGTTGGAAACTTTTGAGGGTTAGGGCACTGCTCATAAGTGGGCCCCATCTGTCTAAAAGCTGGCTATAGAATAAAGAGCATCAAACACGAACAGTAGCGGCGGAACACCTTCAATTAAGGGGGGGGGGGGGCACTGCCGACTTTTGGTCCCATTCTTTCCATGCAACACCCATAGCGCTAACGTTAAAATGCCAAAATCAAAGGGGGCACGGTGCCCCGGTGCCCTCCCCGTTCCGCCGCCTAGGAGCACGAAAGCAAAATCTAAGGCATTTGGGAAAAAATGAGTATGCCCTGCAGCGTCTGATAACTACCACCTTCCAGTGGGTCAAGCCAACGGGGCCCAAGTCTATAATGGCACTTAACGATAGCACTAACCTTGTCTCACTTTTCGTTGAAGTCTGTTCCGAATGGTTTCGGCCACAGACTGGCTGCACTGAGGTCGCTTGGTATGTGCAACTGTAATTAAAGCCACCTGAGACGCCCTGACACCAGGCTGCTGAAGCTGGGTTGGAAAATGCTTCGTCTTTGCAGATATCATTGGCCGCTGATTCTCGAGTGCCTGAACCGGTAGATGTCGTGGCAAAATTTGATGTAATAATTTGAACCTTACCGCAGTCAGCGCACCCTAACCCGCGAGTTGCTGGGGGGGGGGGGCGTTTAACGCCCCCACTTTTTTCGCCGGGCCATAGCATAAAAACGGCGCGCCGCAGGCGCGCCAAATTTTGGGTACCTGTAGGGAATTGATTGAAGTTTATTGTGCCAAAGTTTCAAAAAAATCGGTCGGAAAATTTTTGAAATATCGAGGTTTTAGTGACGTCATGATTTCTGAGTTTTGGACCAAAAACGGCTTATGTTCAAAAAATCATATAAAATCACAGAATAGACATACAGACATGCCGTAAACGCCATTAGACTGCCAATACCATGAAAAATCAAATGGCTATCTTCGATTATTGATTATCGTTCCGCATTTTCCAAAATCTTGAACTGAATCTTGGCAATTTCTCGTGACCACTTCACGACCATGATACATGCATTTCTTAAATTGAACTTTTTGAGCCAAACACGTACACATATGATAAAATGAATGTCACCATCGTGTTCTACGCCCCTAATTACCCATAAAACATGTGTCACAGGCTGCGAATATCAGTTTTGATTTTCGGGGATATGTGCCTACCCGGTTGACCTGACCTTGACCCTGACCTATGCTTGACTGACCCCTACATGGAGCTGACACTCTTGTAGGCTTTATATGATGGATTGTGCACGGTTTTGACAGAGTTTGTGACGAGAGGCGCCCATTGCAAAGTCCTGAAGTCCATGCTACTGAAAGCCCGATTTCAGGTGTTTGACCTGACCTTGACCCGACCTGTGACCTCAAAATTCAACTTTAAAGTACTCATCTGAAGCGTCTCGTCGCGCTCTTTCGTTTGCCGCCTCGTGCGTTTCGCTGCGCCTATTGGTTCTCGAGTTATCGGCTGGGGGCGTTTAACGCCCCCCCCCCCCCCCAGCAAACGGTGGGTGGCGAAATACCCCAGCAACTGCCGGGCTAAAGCCCTAATAAAGAAACGCCCCACCCAGAGCTTCTGGATTCTCGTTCCAGGCTACCGTTCCTTCACTCCAGCCCGCCGCCGCGCTCCCTCATCTGTCTCAGAAATATAGAGGAAGGTTAAACGGAAATCGAACGTAAAATGAACAGAGGAAATGGTAACGAGTTACCTCATTGAAGAATAGCGCTTGCCTACTTCAAAAGGGTTGGCGCCGTTCTTCAGCATCTGATATGCGATCGGGTTATGGCACAATTTTTCCCATGGGAGCTTTTTTCTAATAGGTACAGCAATACGAAAAGCGTTACATCGTCCACTGGCGGATCCAGGGAGCGGGCATTTAAAGCAAATATTTACTCCCCCTCCTCCTGGCCCCTGCATCGCCCGAAATAGACAAAACGTACCTTATGTTTCCTAATAATAACACTTTTATCAGGATTTTTTTTTTGCTTCTTACTGTTCAGCAGCAAAAAAGCAAAAAAAGGAGCATGCAAAAGGCTCCTCCCCATAAGGAATCGAAATCCGAGGAGTTTTTGGATTTGGGACACTTTTGGGGGGGGGGGGGGTATGTCCACTACAATGTCGAAAACGCCTTTCTGGATCCGCCTATGACATCATCTCGACTGGGACCTTGCCCCCCCACGCCAAAATCGAATCCGCCGCCACTGATGTGATGCACAGTTTTACGATGACCCATTAACAATACTCACAGCACCCTGAAGCCTAACCACCGAAGTCCACTCGCCGAAGTCCCTCATGTCTCTGTGAAATTTTATTTGAGCGTGCTCTGCCCTGTTCCCTGGGTCGCCGGATACCTAACTAACTCACTCCGCGTGGTCCGTCCCCCGTTCGGCGCCGTGTCGGCCGTGCACCGTCGCGCCGACCCACCCATTCAGTCGGCTAAGTGGGCGCCGACTCTGACGCCACTGGACACGTGGGAGTCGCCGGCTGGCGACACGCAGCACAAAGTGGCCTCTTTTGGCGCAGCTGAAACGAACTTCGTCACGCCCGCCTCAATGGGGAGTCATTTTATCCCAGCCTTTTAGAGCTTGTGTCGCTTTGTATGCTTGTCTCTCAGCGCCAGAGTCGTGTAAATGTTTTTTTTTACATGCCGACCCCGTAGCCTATTTGGCATTCGGCGCTCTTTTTTGTTCTTTTTCATGCATTTCCTCACCACTGAGCGAGCCTAAAAAATAGTAGGATGGAAATAGTAATCGTAAGAAAAAGAAATTTCCGGCTGAAAGTTCCAAGAAATTTGTTCAAAATCTGGATTATATTTTCGAATAATTGAGATATTAAGTTCGTGTTTGTGAGCTCTATGTATTAAATGGAATGCTTCGTTATGCCTATGCAAAAGCAGGCAAATGTCTATAATAGATTAGCAGCGTAGTGCAACAACGCATTGTCAAACAAACTGCAAACTGCTTTAGTGGCCAACGAAATGATGGTGCAAAATGATGTGGCAACCTTTCCATCTGTTGCTAATGAATACAGAATCATCCTGTAGTGTAACGAGCTGCTTTTGACACTCATTGAAGGAAGGGATTTTTTTACAGCGTTATTAATTTTGATAGGGAAAGTTGTTTATGTTTGCATATAATTCCGTTCAAATACGTCGTCCAAACTGGCGTTACCGTATACATTGTGGCTTACCGAAACGCAATGCAAACGCAATGCACCACCATTCAATTTGAAATTGTGTGGCCAGTGGCATTTGCGCTTAATCTGCAATACAACAGCGTGAATTTAGTACCCAATTACGGGGTAGAACATAATAGGCTGAGGCAAAACACTTCGAGTTTTACGATATTGCAAAAACATGCATCGTCATTCGTCACTTAAGCGTTGTCAAGTTTTCGATGCTCGCACGTCCTGGTGTCCACTCCTGGTGTCTTTGGTGGGTTGATTGTACCACAGCCACGTTCTATCCTCTAGCGGCAGCGTGCGTGGGCACTGGGCAGGCTTCTTCCGCCCTCGCACTTGTTGACGGACGACGCCGCTCGGCCGTGTGCGGTGTTTTTTGCAGCGTATGTGTCTTGCCATCGGCCCGGTAACGGTAATTGGACACCGGTGACACCCTGCACTTGTTTGTCAGACGGTATAGGCGCTTGGTGTTTGGCAGGTGGTGGTGAGTTCCCCGGCGTATCGTAACAGAAGGCCGACAATGAGTAATGACTGAAGGTGACTAGGGCTGTAAAGCGGTTATGTGATCGAGACCTGACCTGACCTGACCTGACCTGCCTCGCCCCCAGAGGTGCTGCAGGACCCGGCCGTCACCGCGCGGCTCTCCGACACTAAGGCTGCCGGCGAGGTGAAGGCTCTGGAGCAGTTTTACCGCACGCTTCAGGACGACCCGGCCAAGGCTTACTACGGCTACAAGCACGTACAGATGGCTAACGAGGCGCAGGCCATCGAGACGCTGCTCTGCTCCGACAAACTGTTCAGGTGGGCGCGGCAGCGGGATGAGATTAGGCAGCTCGGGTATGTGCTGTCTATCTGTCTGTATGTGAGGTGATCGTTTGTCCGTGTCTTTCCGTCATTACCGCTTCGTCCGTTTGTAACCTGGCCTGTCACAGGTCCGTGGCGGTCTGTCTTATATTTTTTTCTGTAGTGTCCGTCAGTCTGCTGATAGCATTACGCTATGTTGGCTGAAACTCAACAGCTCACTTCCGGTGGTAGCGTTAAACCGGGATGACTTTCCGTGGTTCCTGGGCCAGTCGGAGTAGCAATTTATCCAGCCTGAATGTTTTATTTGAGTTGCGGCCCAAACTTATCAGCGTGGGCGGAAGATGAATGTTTTCATTACAGCATGGTTTAAGTGACATTTAAAGATTAGTCCGCATACTGTTATGCAGAGTAAAGCTTAATTCTTGACATGTGATGGAACGGCCCAGTAAATGTTAGCCAGCAGGACTATTTTTCATCCCCGAGCACCATCTCTGTCTAAATATTTTTAGCCATGTTAGCTATGCATTACTGCTGGTGATTGTAGGGTTATTATGTAGTTGCAGAGGCACCAACGCCCTGGCCGTTGTATTTGATGGTGAATCTAACTCATCGTAGGTATATTGGCACAAATGTTAACCATCTGGGGATTTGGATTTGTGTCAAATCAAAGTCTGAATTGGTACTTCGTCCATTGTTTTTCTACATTTGGGTGTGATTTTTATGATGAAACTTGGTTAAACTTCGGTCTCTTTCCCACAATATCCTTTTAATGCCACCTTTTGGCGTCCCGCATTTGTGTAGCAGATAGAGTCTCGTCCTACAGACTGCGGCTCTGTCAGGAAGTCGATTCTTGTCGTGTCGAGTCGAGTTGAGTCTACCGCGGTCCGCGACACTGGACGTGACTCCCAAACTCCTAAGTTAGCGCCAGTTGCCATCAGCGAAGTCGAAAACCTCTGCCTGTTAACAGTTTCAACTCATCCAAGTAACATGATCTTCCGGGCTAACTTTGGTTGCCACTGTTCTCAGTCGCCAACCGCTGGCTTGTTTTTCTTCTCCCTTTCTCGAATTACTTGAAATGGCCAAAACGCCAAGCTTAAATGGAACTCATTGGTGGCTGAAGGGACCTAAGCCGTTCTTTGAAGACGTATATTTACGGTAAAGTGGAGCTCAATTTTCACTGAAATACTGTGTACAGAGATTGCTTTGTGTTTCTTGTTTTGTTCGAAAGTTTTTTACCTTTCAGTTACCGTAGAATCGTGTTAAAAGAAAATGCCTGTTGTGCTACCAACGGATAACAATATCGAATTCAATACGAAATATGTTAGTAATATATTTGCTCGTTTATCCGTGGTAATTGTCACTGGTTTTACCTGCAGTGTTTATTTACTTTCAAGTGTATGTTTCTTAGTGATAGAAAAGCTGGCCGGTGTTGTAAACACTACTGATAGGACCGATCTCAGTCTCAGTTACGACCAAAGTCTGACAACATATCACCACTTGGACGTGCGAGTGGACTTTGCCGTCGCTCTGACCATCGATGGTTGCATCAAGGATGCCACACGCTCTGAAACTCGTTCCCACCAAGTCAGCGTAGCGTGTTGCGTGTCGATCTGGAGACCTGTTGAAGTCGGGAACTGACACTGTCTACCTGTCTTCCTGTCCCGTCAGTCCATTTGGGCGCCAGTTCTGAGGAGACCCAATTTATGAGATACTATGGCGCTCGTACAGTGTTCAGTCCTATAGTCACATTTTACGAGCATCATGATTGGATGGTAAGCTCGACTGCACTGGTGAAATACGACCGTGTTAATGTCGTATCGCTACCAGACAGGCCATGCTCGAACTCGAGGAAGAGCGTTCAACGTCTGGTCTTGAACGTAATAATGCGAAACGCTGAAGCTCATGATGTGTCAAATTCTGACATCAATGCCGGAACATTCATGCCCCTATAGTGAGGCGCGAGGCGAACGATGTAAGGTTGTTAACAGTAAGCTTTATGCATCACCAAGGCTCTCAGTCGTGAAGGGGTTGAAATATAGTGTCGTACAAATGGAACCCTTCTAGTTTGGTCGATTGCCGTCCTGCAGTGCTGTGCACTATACAGTATAGTTACACTATACAGCATATATCACATTGTGCATCTAACGTCTTTGCTGGGTGATATAGTGCCTTAGCGAAGTTTTACCATCAATAATCGGCATGCTAACGGCAAGCTCAATGCCCGGTCTCAAGCTCAATGCCCCACCTTCATAGCATCGTATTCATTTACCTTTACCGCAGTTTTGTTATGGTAATATTCCACAGGACTTTCCAGTTTCCATTGAGGCGGCTGTGAATGCCACATGCAAAACACGTGCGGTGAAAGACGCGGGCTCTGAAACTTTGCGTGGTACCCAAGTTTCGATCCTAAGACTAGGTTTTCTTGGGTGCCTTCTTCATGAATTGCAAATGGATTTATTGATCCTGCACGGAACTGCCATACAGTGACGACGCAAACAGGGATGAAGGGGATCGCAATAAGATGTCAACATTTCGGATACCATTCGTTCACATTGCACATTTTTTCGTCTCTCGACCTACATCGTATTGTATCAATAGATCCATTTGTTCTAGACTTCCTTGTAATGGGCGCTTAATGACCCCAGTAATCGGCGCGCCCTAAAGCCAATAAACAAACAAACAAACGGCTTCCTTGTAGTGAGTATCCATTTCCGTGTGTAGCTGTTATCTTTCCCGCTGTTGTGGACAGCAATTACCATCGGCAATGAACCTAGGTCCCCACCCGCTGAGACCGGAGGAGATGACCGTCGGCTGAGGAATAGGGAGTGATGACTTCTGTTCGCCCATCTCATCAGTGTGCTTGTGTGTCGTGGCCCTCGTCCGTTCTTCGTCACGAGCTGGGGGACCGCGCTGTATGGATCTGAGCGTGAAATATGGCCTGGAGCGCTGGAGTGGATGCTTCTGCTATTGTGGAGGAGAATGTCTCTGACATTGTCATTGAGCGTTAACTGACAGCAATATTTGAAAGAAAATGCAATGACAAATAAAGCCCTAATTATAAATAAGATTGATTAGCAATAAAAATGTGCACCAGTGCTTTAAAGTGCCGACTTTTGTTAGATACAACTTAGCTTCAATAAGATATTTGCTGAATTAGCTGTTTGGACGTTGTGCTCATAAGTAATCGTGGGCAATGCTGTCAGTCTACGCCTTTCAAACTATACTCTAACGACAGCCCACGCCGTGCCTTTTGAGTCCCCCGGCCCAAAGCTGTCTACCTCCGAAGGTGCCGCGCAATGTTGTCATCAGCACGGTCAGTGTTTTATTTTCGTCACACTCCTACAGCATCCTGCAGGCTCGTTCGTTAGGCTTAGTCTCTCTCATTCAATCTCAGTTGGTGTGGCGCGGTGGTGTGACGTCATATGGGCGTGGGCGGACTCTGGGTGATGGGTACGGGGTGAATCATCGCCTGTGGGTGGACGGGGGGGGAGGGGGGTTCAGCGGGTCTAGCGGGTCATGTGATATACGGACTGTGGATGGTAGGGAGGTAGACACGTAGGGTTTGGTGGGGCCTGGCGGCTGACAGTTGCCGCCTATGGTAGTGGCCTGTAGCCGCTGCCGCTTACCAATGTCACCACCACCCGCTTTGCACTGCCGCCGCTGCCTCTCCGCCGCTCCACCCCTCCCGCCGCCGAGCCCCCCCCCCCCCCCCCCCCCCCCCGCCGCCTGACCGCGGTCCCGACGTCCATACCTATTGTGACGGCAGTAGTGGTCAGCGTGCGTTGTACACAGATCGTTATGTGTGCCTCTGTTGTGGTGGAGTGACCGGGCGCTCTATTCAGACTGCGGTCCTGGATGGGCGCAAAGCCGGTGTGGTAGGCGTATCGATCAAGCATCACTCTGTTTGGCATTCAAGATGCAGGTACTTGGCGCTGATGACCTCCGCAGTCCAGCTGCCGTAAACCCCACACTATCATAATCGCCATCGTCATCCAGTAGCTGCACCCTTCTGGTGTGAAGACCCATTCGAAGAACCACGTTTGACAGGATGAATGTCAAACACCGGTATTGCGGAAAGTTCAGAACTTGACATAAATGCGGTAACGAGTTCATAATGCACATTTGCTCTGATTCAGTCATGAAGAATCCCACTTATAGGTAATGGTGCGCTTCCGTCAGGAATATTTTGACATCTTCGGAAAGGCATTGTCGTATTCACGCCCAACGAAATTACGATTTCAGAACAATGGCGACTGGTTACGGCGTATGCTTAGTATTACATATGATTGAATCTGGTCATCATGCAAACGGTGTCCCTGGAGAGAAAGGACCCTGCCTAGTCGAGCGAAACAACATTCTACCGTCGTGCTGGACGGCAGGATAGAATTAGTTGTTTCAAGTTTCTTATGTGTTCATAGAATCGACCCTCTGGCTACAAAATCTTGTTAATGCTACTATACTCCACAGTCCACATGCTTATTTTCCTCTCCCTAATTATCACCTTTTAGTTTGGATGACTTCAATTGCGATATTTTCTGTTGACAATTATCATTATTTGCCATGGGAATGCTACCCGCCGAGTCCGTGATAAAAGTCAGGGCTCAGTGTCTGGATCGATGACTGTCTCTGAAAAGTCCATTACGAGCTGCGTGACAGCCGCGAACGACTTAATTAATCATACCGTTACTTCACTGGCCCCGTAAGTGGTCTGGACGGACAGAAAATTACAGCCTTGTTGCCCAGGTATTATCGTTTAATAGCACGAATGTGGTTACAAATGTGGAAACGTTAACGTTACGACAGGCCTATGGTCTAAGTGCCATTGGTGTGCTGGATACGTTTGGTGCACCCTATGAGCCTGAATCAGTCTTTGTGACCTGCAATTTAACCCGCGACCTGGTGGGGGGGCTATTTTTTGCCCCCCCCTTCCAGACTTTTCGCTATATCTCCAGAACCGCTGCGCCGATCGTCACCAAACTTTCAGTACCCTCCCGGACATCAATTTTACACATTGTGACCAAAAACATTTTCCAAAGGCTATGATAGGTTGGCCGGAAATGACGTCAGAGTGACGTCATGTTCTGCCGTTTTCGACCCAAAAAAGGGTTTCGCGGGAAGAGCTGTCAGGCCTATAGCTTTGCAAATACAGAAAAATTATAAAGACATAAAAGATGTAGAATCAACAGGGCTACAAAACTGCTATCTCGGATTTTTTAAATTTTTGGATTTTGATCCCCAAAAATCAAAAAGTAAATTTTTTGGATATAAAAATCGAAAATCCAAAAAGTTTTTTGAATTTCGAAAAAAACGGAATATATGTGATAGTCCTTACCACCATCCATCCACATACCAAATTTGAGATTGATACCTCTTTTTTGGCGAAGTTATAGCGAAAAAACCGTTCAAAATTGATGACGTCAAATTTTCAAACTCAATTTTTAGCAATTCTAGACCCCGTAGCGCAAAACAAAGACCACCATTAGACTCCCCGTGACGGGCTGCATCGAATCAATACCCATTTTATGCAAAACTATCAACTTTAAAATTTGACCTTTTTTGGCCTGACCTTGACCTGACCTTGACCTGAACTTCACCAGAAAGTGACCTAAGCCGTACCTGATAGTCTTATAACCAACACCATTGAGTTGGAAATGAAAAATTGGCCATAAAACATGCATCACACAACCTTAGTAAAGTTGGGTTCATGTGACCTGACCTGTGACCCTTGGTGACCTGACCTGTGACCTGACCTGGTATTGTCAGTGACCTCTAATAGCAACATATCTACTAGGCAACTGACGCCCTATCGCTGATTCTCGACAAAATGCGTTTTCCTCGGTGTTATAGCGCATTCCCTACAAGACCCGTGAACGGTGAAACATTTCATCTTTGACCTGACCTGTGACGTCATCGGTGACCCCGAGGTCAATGAAATTTGGTTTCCCTTGACAAATTTGACAGGCCTTTCGAACGCCGTTTGAATTTTGCGGATCCGTCCAGTAGTTTCGGAGATACGAGGGGGGGGGGGCAAAAAATAGCCCCCCCCCCACCAGGTCGCGTTATAAACAGACCCCACCAGGGCGCGGGTTAAGAGGTGGCCGACACCGAAGTGGAGGACATTGAACTTTGAACTATGAACATTTATTAGGCACAGGCAGTATTATAAGCTTTTTCATGGAAACACATTTATTTTAGAATATCGTCACGATGTGGAACTGTAAGATGTAATCGCCACCTGAGCTTCCATTTCTCCCGCAACCGAGTTGTCTTACTCTGGCCCGTTTGCTCAGCACTGGAGGTGACGTTGCCAGCATCTGACCTGTCCCGCTCTGGCGATCCGTTACTGCAGGCCGCACAGTGTACATTTTCAGTTCAATATCATCGTCCACGACTCGATTGCCCGTTCATACCTATATGTCGGCGCAGTAAAAGATGGCCATTGGCCGTTGGAGTTGCAGTGTGTATGTTATCAGTGTTATCACTGTTTTCCAGTACCTTGGGCGCAAAATGACCTTGGTAGACGACGCGCCCTAAAGCCCCAATTAACACACAAGCTTCCCAGTACCTGGAGTATTTTTATTGCACCTTTACTGCATGCGTTTAAGTTTTATTATTTTGTTTTTCACTGATATCTGTATTTTTAGGTCGCTGGACCTGGCAGAAAGAAAGAAATACGTCGCGCTGGTGGACAGCGTAAAAGAGTACAACGGCGATGTCAAAATATTCTCCAGCCTCCACATTTCCGGAGAACGTGAGTAAAATCGATGGACTATAACAAGCTAACAAGTATGTTACTTCGTCACGATTTTTGTCTGCGCCTGGGATGCAGTGCGGGGTTTCCAATAGCTGAAACGCCGTAGTGCTTTACATCGATGCTGAATGGTTAAAAACCCATCTATGCAGGCAAAGCTAACCAAGGTCTGGCTGTCGCGACTTTTTTGCTGGGGGGGGGGGGGTGAGCTCTGTAAGTGCTGTGACGATGCCATTTTGTGTAGTTTGGAAATGAACCAGCAACTTTGTGTGCAAAACGTCAATGCGTTTGAATGATTCAGTATGCCATGGCTAAAACTTATTCATTTCGATGCCTACCGTCCGTACACGCAACGGACATTTACCCAAATGGTCGGCTTTCAACACATTTTCCCAATACACGCTGAATTAGTCCCCCATGCATGCCAGCATCTGACCTTTACTGGGCGTTATTACGACTGCCCGCCATGTATTCACCGTGCTGCTGTGCTCTGTGTGGTGGTCCACAGCGGTGTACCCCATTCAGGTGTTTGTTCAGACTTATGAATGCACCCGCTCCATTCGGAAACGGTCTTGTTGACCGTGTGCCCCGTGCTGTCCCCGTAATGACCTCTGCGACCTTTGAAGCGCTGCAGCGTTGTGACGCCGCGGTCCTCCTTTCACAGAGCTGGAACAGCTGACCGGTATCGCCGCCATCCTGCGGTACCCCATGCCGGAGATCGAGTCGGACGACGACCCCTCGGACAGCGACAGCGACTAGTGACCTCCTGACAGGGTAGGGTACCCTTCGGACGAAAGCAGTGGCCCATTTGGCAGGCTGGGTCACCCTGGACAGAGACAGGGGTAGTGACCCTCTGACAGGGCGCTGGCGTTCAGTGCCTCTGTTCTATGGGGACCTGGAGAAGATCACCGTGGATCACCTCTGTCTTGTTGCTGAATGACTGAGCCACCAGGTGATCCGACCGACCATTGGTCGCTGATCTGTATCATAGACAGACTGTGCGGAGCTCTTATCCCGGCGGACCGGCTGTGTACCTCTATACGGTCGGAACTGTACCTTGACCATCAGTTTCGCCGTCGAGCAAGTCCGCTCAGGTCAGAGTGAGAATTTCTGAGGCCGTAGTCTCGGGAACGGCTGGGGCAGCGGCTGTGACGGCCCTGCGGTAGGATCGTGCCTATAAAGGATCGATGCTACGGTCGGTCTATGCGCTGTGTATTTCTTATCACGGCCCACGCTACTTGCAACGTGTTTCGCGGATCGGTCGATGTTTGTTAATTTATTCAGATTGACAGCTTTACTGTCAGATTTTGTGGCACTGTTGTCCTGTCAGTGCCCGACATTGTTTCGGTTTTAACGACGATATTTTTGCCAGTCGCTGCGTGGCTGGTTGACAGCGGAGGTCGATGGTTCGCCGGCATATGATCGCGATTGTTCTGTATCGTTCGGCAGCGGCGACCCCACTGCTGACAGCAGACCTTCAAATCAATCTACAACCCATTAGAAAATTGCAAAACCATCACATAAACTCAGTTGTAATCCTGACTGGACAGTTGCCTGGTGCTGAGATCTGGAACGGGTTTTTACCCGTTCAGCCCCAGTCACCCTCAGCCTGCACTAGCAGTCTGTCCCGCCGTTCAACTCATTAGACTAATGGGTGGCGACGTCGGCCGCGTGGGCTGAGCTGTCCCACTCGGTCGGGGCACGGCAGCTGTCCGCGGCCCGCCCACCTATCTGCACGCCCTTATAAACAGCCTCTCGCCGGATTAACCCCGGCACGGGCATCCATTCAGCCGTCTTCTGCCCGGCTGTGTGCCAATTTATCGGACAGACCGTGACACAACACACGAGCGAGGTGACTGTGTGCAGACAGAGATAACACGGACGGATGCTGTGCTGTGTCTGGCCGCTTGAGCCTCATGGAGGCTGTAAAGCAGCCGGGTGCTGCCAAACCGGCGATACAGCGTGGTGTTCAGTCTCCTGTGGCGAAACTGCTCGGCTGTGCAGAGGCTGAGCGCTACGCGCAGATAATCGCTTACTGTTCAGTTATGGAGGCTGCCATATGATGCTGCCCAGTCGATAGGCGTTCGAGGAAACACAATCACCTGCTGAAGCTACAGAGTGAGGGCTTTCCGCCGAGCTGAGGGCTCTGACAGCGCATATCAGCGTACCGTGAAGCTGCAGTCTTCTCGGCCCGTCCCGGTCGGTTCCTGCGCCTCTGTGATAAGGCTCGCAAGCAGCTTTCACCCGCCAGTCTGTTCTTAGTGACCACAGCCGCCGCCGAGACAGGCAAGGGGTTTTGCTCGATCGCACCGATCGTTTGCGTGTGCTGTGTGCTGGCGCGCGCGTCAGCGGTTGTCTAGGTACTGAAGATCTGGGGTGACTGCGTGTGTGTGCTATGTATACGCGCTCAGCAGGTGCAGTGTAGGATGGGGTTACACAAGGGGGCGTATTTAAACCATGCGGTCAAGGCTTGAGGTGGCTGAATCTAATTATTCGTCTGTTTGGACGCGAATGTTTGAATATTGGCTGTTGTATGGCCGATGTCTTGTGATTGTTTCGTTTACATGGGTATGCTTGTAATAAAACCCGCGATAGTTGCTCGTATGTTTATGGCTTCATCGTTCCAGTGCTCGTTTTCTATTGGGGGTCGAGCTTCAATTGGTCTCCAGGGGTCGATGTAACAGACATGGTACTGAACCGCCCGCATGCACCGGGCACCATAACGGCTTTCGTTCGGCCGAGTCCTTATCAGAAATGCGGGCCAAAAGCCTTACGAACGGTGACGGATAGTATTACAATTTATACACTTGGGCTCCCTATCGCATTGGGGTGGCAAAATGTGCGAATGCTGTTTTGAAATAGGTATACGCACTTCACCATATTTAGCTAGCTCAATATGCGGCAAGTCGGAAAGTGACTCTTTCACTCCACCAGTTGTTTGATGTAGGCATTGGAACATTCCGTTCTCAATAAGCCTTACCGAGCAGTTCCATGCATTTTATGAACCATATCCGCAGTAGTTTCTGACCTTGTCCATGAACGGAAACGTTTGAAACGGGTACGATAATTTTACTCACCAGTCATCACCCCAACCACCATTCGTGCTGCGTAACGTGCGAGAATGGTGAGCCGTATTCGGGACGATGCCTCGCCCGGGTGAGGGGTGATTGGTACGGTATGGTACGGTTCTGCTTGAATGGAGCTTCAATGATGAGGTGTCATAAAAAGTCGCCTACTTTGCACTGCACTTGGGCCATAACGGGCAGATGATTGGGTAGTAAATGTAAATACAGTGGCGGTCGCAGGGGGGGGGGCCATCAGGGCCATGCCCCCCCCCAAAGGCAAATCAGGGGGGCCATCATATCATTTGGCCCCCCCCCCCCCCAAACAACCGATGGGCCCCCATGGCCGTATCGGGCCCTGGCCCGTATTCGATTGTCACGAGGCTCGAGAAACCCACGCCAGCCATTAACAGCTCCCACACCAGTCTTTGAGGGTCCTACACTGACCTCTGAGGGCCCTTCAGTGGCGGTCAAGCGTCCACATTGACCGCTGAGGACCCACATTGACCTCTGAGGGCCCTCTACTGGCCTTTGAGGGCCCCTAAACCGGCCTCAGGGGCCCAACCGGCCTCTGGTGGCCTCATTTCTGTCTCTCGAGTCCCAAGACTAACCTTTAAGTGTCTCTGAGGGCCCCGCACTGGATTCTGAAGACCCGATGTCGGCCTCTGAGAGCCCGCATCGGCCTCTGGGGCCCATCTTGGCCGTTGAGGGCCCTCCACTGGTCTCTGGGGTCCAACGCCGGCCCATGCCGGCCTTTTAGGGCCCCACACTGACCTCTAAGGGCCCCATGCTGGTCTGTAAGAACCCACATTAGCCTCTAAGGGCCCCCCGCACTTCATTCTGAAGACCCAATGCCGGCCGCTCAGGGCCCGCATCGGCGTCTGAGGGCCCATCTTGGCCTTTGAGGACCCTCCGCTGGCCTCTGGGGTCCAACGCCGGCCCATACCGGTCTTTTAGGGCCCCACATTGACCTGGGGGCCCCATGCTGGCCTGTAAGGACATACATTAACCTCTATGGGCCCCACACTGGATTCTGAAGACCCGATGCCGGCCTCTAAGGGTTCGCATCGGACTCTGAGGGCCCATCTTGGCCTTTGAGGGCCCTCTGCTGGCCTCTGGGGTCCAACGCCGGCCAATGCCAGTCTTTTATGGTCCCATTCTGACCTTTGAGGGCCCCATGCTGGCCTGTAAAGGCCCACATTAGCCTCTAAGGGCCCCCCGCACTGGAATCTGAAGACCCGATGCCGGCCTCTAAGGGTCAGCATCGGCTTCTGAGGGCCCATATTGGCCTTTGAGGGCCTTCTGTTGGCCTCTGGAGTCCAACGCCGGCCCATGCCGATCTTTTAGGGCCCCACACTGACTTCTGAGGGCCCGTGCTGTCCTGTAAGGACCCACCTTAGCCTCTGAGGGCCCCGCACGGGCTTCTGAAGACCTGATGCCGGCCTCTAAGGGCCCGCATCGGCCTCTGAGGGCCCATCTTGGCCTTTGAGGGCCCTCTACTGGCCTCTGGGGTCCAACGCCGGCCCATGTCGGTCTTTTATGGCCCCACGCTAACCTCTGAGGGCTCCATGCTGGCCTGTAAAGACCCACATTAGATTAGGCTCTGAGTGCCCAATTCGGTCTCTGATGGTCTTCAACTGCCCTTTGGAGGCCCTGTACTGGTCTCTGAGGGCCCTAAACTGGCCCCTAAGGGCCCAAACCAGCCTCTAAAGATCCCACACCGGCCTCTGATGGTCACATTTCTGTCTCTGGGACCCAAACTGACCCTTATGTGCCTCTGAGGGCCCTCATTGGCTTCTGAAGGATCGATGCCGGTTTCTGAGGACCCATAACGGTCTTTAAGTGCCTCATACCGACACCTGAGGCCCCACACTAGCCTCTGAGGGGGCCCAAAACTGGCCTATGAGGTCTCTACACCGGCCACTGATGGCCCTATTATGTTCTCTGGGGGCTCAAGCCTTACCTTTGGACGTCACGCACTTGCCTCTGAAGGCCCACATCAGCCTCTGGGGCCCTACCTGGGGCCTTTGAGGCCCTTTGCTGACCCTTGGATACAACGCTGGCCTCTGGGGGTCTGACACTGTACTATAAGGGCCCCATTGCAGCATCTAGGCGATAGGTATCGCCGAAGCGCTATCGATGGGCCCATAAGTGTAGGAACCATGGGTGCAGTGGGCGCAATTGCACCAACAATAATTCTGCATAGGGTGCAGACAATGTATTCTGCATCCACAATAATCTGGAACAAACCCCCTTTTCTCAACAACACTACTTTCCATGCAGCACGACAAATTTAGGATATTTTGCCCACTATCCATCTTTCGAAGCATTTGCTACTGTAATGGTCTTCAAAACTTACATTTGTGCTCAAGTACCTAAAAAACAAAAATGAAACGGAACACGTGTGATTGAATAGTGAACAGATACCGATGACCCACTGTCAAAAGTTTTACCACGATGATCTCAGAAAATGGCAAAGTTAGCCGTCTTTACTTTTGCGGTAGTCCATTCACATTTGCGTGAGTTATTGGCATTATCAATGCTTTAAAATGCACTTATCGGTACCTTTTCGACATGGAACATCCTCAAAGCTCGCAATGACCCTCCGCTCGGGTGCCGCTCCCTACCCCCCCCCCCCCTGCTTCACCGGCCATGGCCTGGATTTCTGCACCCGTGCACTACGCCCGTGGGCCCCTTTAAGCTAGCACCGGGCCCCACGGGTCAGCGCAGGGGCCCCTTTGCCAAGTTGCCCCCCCCCCCCCCCAAACTCCAAGTCTGCGACCGCCCCTGTGTAAATACGTTGACGTAAGTGCCCCTGGATGCGCACGGTGCTAGGTCGGTAATACAGCATCGTATGGCGGCAATGGGTGCACCAACTCTGTGGTCTGTACCACTGAGCTGGCGTCGACGGACCGTGACCGATATACTGGTGTGTTTGTGACCGACGATCAGTGACCGATGTTCTGGTGTATCTGTGACCGACGTACGGTGACCGATGTGCTGTCTGGGCCGTACGATACGGCCTGAGCCGCGCCGTCATCACTATGGGCAATACTGAGCGGCGTGGCTGTGTATCAGGAAGCCACAATGCGCGGCCGGTCGGCAGCGATCCACGGAGGAATGGCTGCGATCACCAGAGCCCATGCGTCATTTTCCACTCACCGGCACACACAGGGCGCGGACACAAATTGCCCGGTCTGCATCAACGTGGAAAATTCATTTGTCAGCCAAGCATATTATCCACTGAATGATGCGTATTTGATAATCCAAATAGCCCATCGACCAGGATCAACTGGACAATAGGTGACAAGCCATCATAACGAAACCTGCATTATATATAGATCCGTATGTGCACTGTCATATTCAAATGCTCGTTGTTGACACATAGGTTATTACCGGTGTGGGCGTAATAGGTACCTTCCACGTTAACCAATTTGCCAGTCGCACATTAACAGCTGTATTTATCGTTCCACGTACGGAAATAAGCAGCTACGAAATTATTGTTGTTTGCATTTCATGCTCTTGTTAGATTCGTGTCTTTTCATTTTGGGTCTGTCGTTGTCAATGGCCCTCCTTGCTAACCAATGTTGCCTATTATCGTTCAGCACAACAAAAAGTAATGTCCATTGGGTATAAGTCTGGTATTATGACAACAAGCACAACAAATAGGCACCAACATTCACGTGACCTTTCTGTCGACAACACACGGGGGCAGTATAATATTCACAAAGGGGACGCACAGTGGTGTGGCGCGTGCATACATACATATCGGGGAATAGCTATCGCTTATATGCAAATCTATTTTAAGACCGCCCCACACTGGACCTCGCATGCGGGTTGCGAGTTTGCGGGTTTTTAGTTTGCGGGCATAATACTAATTCATAGAGTGATTAGACCGTTCCCTTATGGTAACTTCATGAATGCAGTGAAGCCGGTACACCTTCAGAAAATTACGCATAGCCGCAATACCAGCGCAACAAACCAAAATTCGACTCCAACGAAAAACCCGCAAACCTCGCAGAACTCGCAGACCTCGCAGCGAGGAAAATCGAAAGTTGACTCAAAATCAACTTTTGGAATGCGATGCAAGGTGTCTCGCAAGCTAAAACATGCAGACTCGCTTGTTAGATGGTAGTGTGGGTCACTCAGCTTAGATTGTATTATTTAATTTTGAAGAAACCCGAAAACCTAAAAACTCGCAACCCGCATGCGAGTTCCAGTGTGGGGCGGCCTTTAGCATCAGTTTGAGCTTGCTGTCGCAAATTGATCATCACAAACTTAGCTTTCACTAACACAGAGTAATTTGGATGTTTTTATGTCATTGAGTATGGTGACTCAATGAGTGATTTTTTCCTGCACAACAGTCGCAATAAGAAAACGGACCTTTATTAGGCAATAGGTATTGTCCGATTTTTCATTATTCCAATCACCGTGAACAAGTTTATGAAGCGCTGCCGTTTTATTCCAACATAACTTCTTTCATTTCGATATAAATTTGATTTATAGTTTTCATTGGTAACTGTTGTTAAAAATGTTACTCGGGTTTCCCTACACAACAGTCACAAGGTGGCAATGTTATTCTCGTAGCACAGTCCTATATCACATATGTAGTATTCCCCTTACAGCTGCAAGACGACGACACTCCTCCGCGATTTCCTCTTTTATGTAGCCACCACACCCAGGATATTGCCAATCACAGTTCACACTAAGACACTTGTCGATTTTCACTGAAGCTCCTCGACTGCCGACTGTTTCCCGGTCTGACCTGTCCTTATGCCGCCAGGCAGCTCATTCCCGAGTGGTCACCGATGCGCACCAGTGTCTACTTGCCGGCATTATTGCCCTCAAGGTCCTCCACCGACGTGTTGTCGGGGGGAGCCGACGGCGATGGTTGCTGCTGTACCGGTACTTGGTACAGGGCGGTACCGGGCGACGGCGACATCCCCGCCGGATATCCCATCATCATACCTGTGGCACATCGCAGTACATCGCTGAAACGATAAACGCAATACACATAGGTAGCGCGTGATGCTGTGAGCGTGTCTGGAGCTCAGGCAGTCCAACTTACCCTCACATTGCGATTGCACGCGTGAAACACTTCTCTTTTTCCTTCCTTCGCGCATTAGTTTCGCCGTTAATAGGAATGCACTGTCCAGAGTGCTGCTATAGAAGAAATGAAAACGTTAAGCTGAAGCATGCTCTTCTGAAACTCACCTCCGGCGGGTATCATGATTCCCTGCATTCCTGGCATCGGTGACTGCGCGACCAGCATCATTGGCGGGTTGGCAGGTGGTAGTGGCGAGTTAGCTGTGAAAGGCAGAGAGACTTCAACGCGCGGCCGACTAGGCGGTACTGGCGCATAGGCTGTGCCGCAGTACATGCCGGTACTGCGGCACAGTCGCGATACACTACAGCCGCGGTCGGTCCACGATACAGCGCGACAGAAGACGGTTCAAAGTCGGATCGTCCGCTGCATGTAGTGGTGCTTTGTCTCTTCTTACTAATACACCCAGAGGGGTCTGATCATTGACCTAAAATAAGTATAGGTCATACTAATTATAGGTCAATGGGTCTGATATTCTTTCAATAACGTGGCGTACCTATAGCTGCCTATCGACCAATTGTTGAAACAAAACCAAATGAATGAAATATAGGGAGATTGGCAGCGGTGGAAAAAGCTTTGCAATGCGTTTCAGTTTTAAGTGTACGTTTTTCCATAGTCAGAGTTGCCTCAAGGCTTGAGATGGCACGCTCATTTCGTGGGCGTCTGGACAGCAGATCATTAAAAGATTTAGCTGAATTTCCAAAAAGCGCTCAATGCTTACTAAGACACGAAATATACCCAATTTAAAAGTTTTAGGAACGGCCGAACTTTGCAATCCATTGAAAAAGTGAAGCAAGAGACATTTTAAAATGTTCAAAGCTTCGATCTTCACTGAATGTCTCCCTTTATTGTTGTAGCAGCGCCCGTTCACAGACACATAACTGCTCAGTGGCCGTTCGTGGCAGTGACACTGGTGTGAGCCTGACCTGGTTTGGGAGGCGGCGGCGGCTTGGGCTTGGGCTGCACGGAGGGCTCTCTTCTGTTTTGTTTCCAGCAATACCATCCGATGACGGCCAAGCCTCCGGCGACCACGGAGCACCCCAGTACGATCGCAACCACCGCTGAAAAACGTGACACAGTGTGCTTACTGTAAACCCGACCAGTCAGCACGATCGCGACCACTGCGCTGAAAACAATACGGCACACTGACTAACCGGACCATCGAGCACCCCAGCACGATCGCAACTACCGCTGAAAACAACACGGGACGCTGACTAATCAACCGGACTACCGAGCACCACAGCACGGTTGCATCTACCGCTGAAAAGAAAAACACAAGCACACTTATTAACCCGACCACCGCACACCCCAGCACGATCACGGAGCACCCAAGTACGATCGCAACCACCACTGAAAAAGCACGGCACACTTACGGCGTACAACGGCGGATACACCAACCCGTGACGTCAGACCCTGGCCCCAGACGGAGCACCTAGACATCCCTTGCGTGCTTGCTATTGATGCCAATGAATCGAACAGTGAATAGACATCACTATGTCACATTTCGTATGTGGTTCAGTTCCCGAGTGCTCTAATTTCTACCAGGATGACGCCCTTTGGTTCGACAGACGCACGAGCGAGCGTTATTTTGAACACGGGTTCGCTTGCGGCATGTAAGCGGGTAAACGAAACAATTACGAGAAACGCACTGTGACTCATCCACACATATCAAAAGTAGTCGCATCTTCAGTTGAAGAGAGGGAGCTATCTAATGCAGCAAACCGCTTGTCGTTCGGTTGAGTGGCAGCCGAAATATGAGGTATTAAAAAAGCATCACGGGGCGAGACGATTATGCTGAAATTTTGCTCACCCTATATGTATATTATCGCGTTCGCTTGCTGCGTTCGCTCGCACGTTAATTATTATGACCATTAGAGCTAGGTACATGCAGAATATTTACGCTTCATCAGGGCATACAGGCTGTGACGTGTCTATGGGCGATGAATCAAGTTTACGTCTCTAACCCGTGACTATTGTTGTGTATTTTTTTATGATACACAACAGCAGGCTTGTTACATTACGAGTATAGCATAAGAGTAGTAAAATCATCACACATTAACTGCAGATAGAAAGGCTAATTATTCAAAGACGCTTTATATGACGCAACTCTGCTAAAATGTAAACTAGCTCTATTCCACTGGTCTGCGTTCAGTCGCTATTTGATCCTCAATAGCTATCAGAATTTGATTGCTTTGGCGAGAAGCGCATTGTTTAGCTCTTCACGGCTACTCTTGCAATCCAGGATAGTGTAAATCATTGTCTTACATAAAGAATTTGCCTACATTTTGTGAGCGAATGGCCACAAGGTTAAACACTATCATCAGAAGAAGCTTAGCGAGAACAGGCGATATCCACGCAGTGGAACCGGTTCGTAGCGCTACAGGTGGTGAGTCTGACTGACGTGACTGCCGTCCCGCACGTTCACCCACTTCCGAGCGAATTTCCTTTTGTATACGACCTACCGGCCGGTACGCCATTGTGTCATGCAGTAGTTCTGATCATGAGTGTGCGTCTTCCAGTGAAAATGACAATGACAAGTAGCTACTGAATGCCGATCCTACCGAGTCTCCCAGTTGGGCGTTCCGGTTCCAAATTTTGAGCTGACAGCTGCTGATTCTATGACTGTCACCGTGGAGTGTCCAGGGATCCAGATATCCTGTCATTCCTCTGTCACTCAGAGAAGTGAACTAGGTCATTCCTCCATCAACCATAGGAGTAGCCCAGGCTACTCTTCACTCACTCAGGTCGTCCAGGGCATCCCTAACTCATTCAGCGCGGTGACCCAGGTCACTCCCAACTCACTCAGCACCCCTGTCGTGTCGCTCGCCGCCTCAGCCGAGTGGGGCAGACAGGAGAAGGCGACGAGCACCAGCGGCACAGGCGGCGGGGCTGCGGTGGCCATCCCGGCCCGGCCCAGGTCACCGGTCACAGGGCGTCCCGTTCGTCCACTGCAGCGACCTCCAGCAGCAGCGGCCCTCAGACGGTGCCGCTCCTCCACCGGCGCCTTGGTTACGGTGTCAACAGACAGGTAACCAAACAGCAGCCGATAGTTCGACCACGCCGCCGCAGCCCTGACGAGCTGCTTGTCGTGTCGATGCATTCACTCCGTAGGTGTGAGCCCCGCTGAATGGCCGTAGTCGGTCGCAGATCGAGCAGAAAAGAATGCACGCTAATGTGGCGTGCACTCGTGAAGTGGCGTGAAAAAGCTAGGAACTAGTGCATTTGCACGTGGGAGCTAGTGGGTCAATCGCCACTTAAAAGTAATATGGTGGCATGAAATTACCTTAATTCGAGGAAGTTGCCATAGAACTGCTAGAACATTGTTCCAACTTCAATGTTATTGCAGGTTGCTAGCATTTTGCGGTTGCAAAGTGGGTTGCACGCTGCGCTGTGTGTCAACTATTCAATTGTTTTAAAATGTACTTCGACTGCGGTGTTTTATTCAGGCGTTCTAATATTCATGAGCCATGCACCACGGAATTTCCGTCGGCTTTCTCTGAATTGTTTATCTATTTGTAAATCTTTCTTTTCAAGAAAAGTTCCTGGTATACATAGGTCTGGTATACATAGGTTCCTGGTATACAAGCAACCTTGTATGCAATAGATAGAAACGGCCCTGCATTTGCAATAAAATTGCACATTAACACATATATTTGCTCAGTACATATAATCGTAAACACACAACCACAGTGTGACAGACACACAGTGGTCATGGTGTAAGAAATACACAGTATCGTATTGCACATTCATAGCACTCCTATACATAGACAGCATTGGAGCTAAACAAAGTCCATGTCTAGTGCGCATCTTTTTGTAAACCAAGTGCGATGCATAATATGTAATTAATGTCTTGTTTGCTTAGAGTCTAAATAAAAAAAAACTGAGTGTGAAATGGCTCAGTTTGGTCATCTCAGAACTGACACGTGTGTATACAGTCTCGATTAAGTGATCATGTGACAACGTCCAATCCAACGCATTCTCACGTGATCTCACGTTGTTATTGTACAACAATAGCATATTCACACCGGTAGCAACGGTTTTTAAATATAGTGGCGAGCTTCCACTCCCAAACAGATCTTTCGATTATATTGAGACTAGCGAAGCTGATGATGAACATTCGAGCTCCAAACAATACATCGGCAAACATAACTCACGTATTACTTATTACATTACATACACCTCTCGCTGTCACCTTCATGACAAGTGCTTAATGTACACCAAATCTCCATCCTATTCTCTCTGCGTTCTCAGACAATCTTACAGAGCGGCTCCATCGCGTCTGAGAATCCAAATGAGTCGGGAGGTACCTTGTCCGACGACGGGCTGAAGTGCTGACTGCTGCTCACTGTTCAGTGCTCTCCTTTTGTCGGGATTGGTAGGTATTCATTGCCACCTTTGACCTTACTACCAATCGCGTACCGGAAACGGTATCGGCGCCCGGCCGAGCCAGGCGGGTCGACTCAGATCGGCGCCGGCTGGCGAGTCGTCCGACTCTGACTCCTCAGACTCCGAGTCGCCCGAAACACTGACGGAAAGTGAGAAAAACCGGTCACACAGAATGTGACAGAGCGTTCAAATCGGCAAGACACGGAGGCATCAAAACATGACAAAACCCAAGAAGTCCCCGTAGTTTGACATACATGGCATTTCAAAAATAGTTGATGACCGGTACCACATAGCAGACAATTTGTGTAACATCAAATACCTCCGTCGGATTTGTCCTGTTTCCCCTTAATAAATGTATGTGATGAGTGAAGCTAATGAGAAGCTGCTGCTGAGCCTCTAGCTAATGCGGAATGTTGTGAAATTTACCGGATGTCTGCCTCCGACTGCGCAGATGCCAACTAGCAGCTGAATCCCTCAGTGTGGACAATGTGGGCAATGGGCATTGGGCAAGGTGTCAACTATTGTGGAACTGCTGAGTAACTGACCGGATATCTGCCTCCGACTGAGCGGTGGGCGACTGGCAGCTGAATCCCTCGGTGTCGGGCAGACACTGCAGCTCGCCACAGCAGGCGGTGCTCCGCAGACCGGGCTCGCAGGACTCGGTCGGAGGCACGCACAGCTCCAGCGACTCCGAGTCGGGGATCGACTGAAACACACAAACAGGCATACAAACACTTCAGAGACTCCGAGACGGGGATCGAATGAAAAACATACACACAAACACAGCTGCAGAGACTCCGACTCGGGGATGGACTGAAACACAAACATGAAAATACAGCTACAGCGACTCCGAGTCGGGGATCGATTGAAACACACAAACACTGGCATCCAAACACCTCAGACTTCGACTCGGGTATCGACTGAAACACAGACATGCAGGCATCATTACAGACAAACACAGCTAACATAAAAACACAACTGCAGCGACCCCGACTCAGGGTGAACTGAAACACCAATAAACACAGGTGCGGACTGCAAAGTCAGACTTTGGGAAAGACAAACAAAGACATACAAAAAATAACATATAGCTGCATAGAACCCGACTCGGGGATGTACTGAAAAGCGCAACTCTACAAGGTAAATACAGGTGTCTAGACCGTTCAAGATCGTTATAGGGCCTCTTGATCACATTATTTTGCTATTGTGATGTACATACTTGTGAGTGCGTGACAAAAATCCGGCGATTGTTTACGTTCCATACCCGTTTGAAGGTGCCCGCGTATCTCTGGAACATCTGCGGAGTCCATCTATAATAGGGCCGGTCCTCATCGAACTGAAACACACGGCAGAGTGGTGTGGTGTCATCTTTACAGTCTTCGTTCGAAGGTATGCAACAATTATGGACCTTTCCGTCCTGATGCATCCCACGGTCATTTAGCCCTGCTGCACGCTAACACGCCCGTTTTCTGTCACTGCTGCGCTGACGCACCCGTTTTTTGACGATGCGTCTGTAGTAGTCGTTGAAGTAGTCAGGGCTCCGTCGGATACCGGTGAGGCCACTGAAGGCGCTGGAACACTGCACCAGAACGGCGGCGACCGCCAGCAGCAGGCAGACGTCGCACAGCTGGGCTCGACCCGACATCCTGTAACCAGTGCGTGGGTTCTGAGCATGGGAGGGACATGTGAGGGAACACCATCAAAACCCGAATCAATGAACTCTATATGTTGAGTGCTTACTGCTTTCATAAAGATTCATGTATGTTCATAACGAACAATAATTGTACATATGCGTCCAAAATGTACAGGTCTCGCGGGTTTTAGCGGTAGGTTTTGCACCTAGAAAATTTAGTGTACTTCAGGCTATCTCTTCGTCGTCTTAACCCGCGCCGGGCCGGGGGGTGTTTGAACACCCCCCTTGCGGTTTTTCGCAGATATCTCAAAAACGGCGGCGCTCCGCGCCGCCGTTTTTGGCACACCTGTTTGTGCATCTTTTCCGCACATGTTGTGAAAATTTCAGACCCAGGTCACCTTAGGTCAGGTCACCAGGTCACGCCAAGTGACCTCACCTCAGAAAAAATAAGAATGCTCGTCATATCTACACCGACTGAACGATTGCCTTGAAACTTTCAGCGATTGATTAGAGCAACACTATCTATAAAATGTATATCTCGGAATTTTGATATCGGTGACCTAAGGTCAGGTCAATTTTGCGGCCTCTCCATTATAAGTCAATGGGAGAAAATCGAAAAGCGTCTGTTTTGCATGAACGCTATTCTAGACACTCTCAAACATCGAGATGTAGGTAAAATAGACACACTGAACCAGAAAATGGCAACTGTGACCCCTCGTTATGTCCACGAGGTCATCTCAGGTCACGAACAGAATCTAACAGTTTTTCGATGATAACTTCTGATAGAGGAGCGCTAGAGCGCTGAAAACGCCATAGATGTGTTTGGCTCGACGTTGCGGATCGACTGATATGCAACATGACCTTTTCCGGTCAGGTCATGACCTTGACCTGAGGTCAAATTTTCAAGTTGACCTTTCAAGGTCAAATTATAGTTCATTCGACGCGTCTCGACGAGAGGAACACGATGCTGGCAAAAGTAATGTCATAGCTCTTTTGAGTCAAAAGTTATTGCCGAAAAAACGTTTTTCGTAAAACCGGCTATTTTTGGAGTTTTTGCCCTCTGGAGGCTAAACTGTTGACCTGAGGTCAAATCTGAGAACATTATTCAGAGAGGTCTGTAAAAGGGCTATCGAATGCGCTTTTTTGCGGCGCTGTAGCTCTATCGGTTCCCGAGATAGCCGTTGGCAGTTTCCAAAATGTTGAAATAGTCAACATTTTACCTTTGGTGACCTCTGGTGACCTGACCTTTGACCTGACCCAAAAAATGGCCGAAGTGTTTTCGTCCTTATTTTTGACGTTCTTTCGATTGTCGCTTACCGCGTGTCGCTACGTGGCCCAGGAGCCGAGTTAGAAGGGGGGGTGTTCAAACACCCCCCCGCGGCCCGGCGCGGAATCTCAGAGCACCGGCCCGGCGCGGGTTAAGCTTTTAAGTGTTGAAGATGCGATCGACTTGTTGGTTCACAAGCCGGCCATGATCGTCTAAAATGGCTTCATCGTAGATCGATTAGTTTCTGAGATATAACCGGAAATGTAAAAGTGCAAAACCTACCGTTTAATCTCGCGAGAGCCGTACGTACGCGGGGAGGCTCGTTTTTAAAGAGTCCATTTAATCACTCCCATGACGAGTTTCTGGACCGGGGGTTTATGAATTATGCGTTGTTAAAGAAGCGAGATGACCGGCATTTACTGATGACACTTCGTCAATAATGCTTGATCAATACGAAGTTGCATATAAGAATGTATTCCGTAGAACTGCTTTTGTGTAAAAATGTAGGTACCTTTGTCATTTACGACGGTTAGAATAAGGATATAACTATGCAATGCATCTGCCTTCGCATAAACCCGTTTCCGTTTGATAAGTTTTCAATTGATGGCTTTGGCAGTAAGGACCAGTAAGGACTAATATCGATGAACTTGCCACAACTTATAAGTTATAACACGCGTTGATTGAAAAGGAAAGCTTTACAGAATCTTCTCTCGTTTTGACACGAACCATTTCATACACTCCGCTGCATCAATTTTATGTAATGTGGTATCAAAAATGCGCTTTGCGTGACATTAAACTAAAATTGTCATGGCTAGTCGAACATGGCAGAAAATAATTTGGCTCATCATAACAATTTCAGTAATATGTAACACTTGCCCTCCTGACATTCAGGCTTCAGTGCCAATTTAAACAGGCTTGGTAACTCACGCATGAATGTTAAACAGGACTTCCCTGAACGCTTTTTAATATGCTTCCTCTCACAAGCTATTTGACTCTAAAAGAAGACGCAGCGGACACATGTTCCTGTTCATGAATCCATTTGCATTCCAACATGAGTCTGAGTTGTAATTGTGTGCCGCTTTTCATCGCACTGCCGTTGCATGTGTGCGGTCTATTCATAACGCACGTGATCATGATGGGGCCGATCGTGCGTGTCTAATGCGTCAGTTAAACACTCGGTAGTTGAATGGATGAGCCTCTGTCTATTCTTCATCGTCTACGGGCTATCGTCACGTATGTTGACTTAAGCCAAACTATTGCGATGTAGGCATGCTTATGGGGTACGGAATGTTAACAAAGCACATTTGCTTTCAATGTACACATGTACAATATATTTTTAGCTCTAGTGCAGCACAGTTCAATCGATTGTGACGTCAGTAGGTGCATGTTTGACTACAAGTTCACAAATAAAAAGCGTCATGCTAGAATGTTGACCTTTTACTTCCGCAGCATCACGCAACCACGGAGTTTGCAAATGCCTCAAATGGTTTGTTAGTTTCCTAGAGTCCGTCCAGCCAGAACTATAGATGGACCATAAGCGAGGAAGGCCATGCTGAAATCCCCGGACCCACCTGATGGTGCTGTGAAGAGGGGCGGCCAGCCGCGGGGAGAGACTCGCAGTCGGCGAGATGCGATCGGCGACTGACCGAGGACGCTGCGGCATCCACCAGGTCACCGTCGGCCAGAGAGCTGCGCAGGGGAGGCGCGGCCACCCACTCCCGCGCTAGACACCCACGCCCCACCAGTCACACACCCAGTGGACACCAACTGTCCACGCCGGACACCCACGCTCCGCGCCCGAGACCAGTGGACAGTGGACACCCACGCACCCTCGACGGACACCCAGTGAACACCAACTGTCCACGCCGGACACCCACGCTCCGCGCCGGACGCCCACTCTCCGCGACTGTTGATCTCGAGCGCTACGCAGTACTAATATCCAACGGGGGTATTTAGGCTTCAACAAAAAGATAATGACGTATGATCGACACCGGGCCATCGTGCGAATTTGTTATTGCAGTCGGATACAAAACGGATAGCTCGTGCTAAGTTTCAAGGCAACCGGACATTAATTTACTCGTATTGACGTCAACTGGTAACCCGTACTAGTAGTTAATACTAGAACACGCATGCAATCGAACAATTATGTACTTCACTTCAGTTGGAGCATTTTGATCTTGTCACTCATGTGGCAAATGAAGAAGTTAACAGTATCAGTTTGTTCATTTCAATATGATTGGTGATCTTTCTGTATATGAGGCTCCCATTTCTATTCTGCTAGCTATTCAAAAAGTAGGTAAATTGGATGGTCCCAAAGTTTGATGATAATAGTAAGCTCGTTCACACTGCTAGTTAGTATACCTGGTCAACATAACAGCTCCAACTTTTCATAGTTCCCGGAAAGGCTTCATGAACGGTTCACATGTGGACGCTTACGAAACTTTTTATCCAGCAGCTCAAGCAACAGGTAGGTCAGTTCTGCATCGTTTTAATAAACTTCACTGCACAGTCACTTTTTATCCTTTGGGCTTCAAGCTATACGGACTTATACCGACTTATAGCATGTCTGCGTTGCTACGCCCTGCGTTGTTTTCACACCAGATGGCCTGTTCCGGTTGATAAGAAACTTGGCGGCTGTTTTGTCCCAAAATAGCCGCGTGACGACGTCGTCCTTTTGAGCCGAATTGACCCAACGGGAGCACGGGTGAAATCGCTCACGTGACTGCTGTGCCACCGTGTACCTACGTCACAAGACTGGCGCCGGAGGCTGTGGAAAACAGCTCCGGATGAGAGTCACGTCTGGCAGGTGGACGGAGGTAGTTAAGTGGGTGGAAATGGGCGCCCGGGGAGGAACGAAGGGCTGGCGGTCGTTACCGGTGGAGCTGGGGCGGACAGGGGATCGATATCGAAGAGCCGGTAGAGATAATTTAGAATGATGGTCGTCCGTTTAGCGTCCATTTATGGATCGTTTGTGGCTACTTATACGGGATGTGCATTTGATAGCTGCGGGCATTCCGAGAATCAGGTTCAGTGCTTGCGCACAACCCCATCGCCCTCCTCCCGTCCATCGGCATACAATTCTCAGCAGGCATCTACTGACCGCGCGAAGTGAGTTGGCTTGGGTAATGCTGTACAGCATAGCTTCCAGGCGGCACTAGTAGCGCCATCTATGGTCAGGTATTAAAGTGACTCTTCTCACCCTCAGCCGCAGTGAGTCAGCAATGTGTAATACGGTACAGCATATCTTCCAGGCGTTAACTAGCGCCATCTATGGGCAGGGGTTTAAGTAGCCTTTCTCACCGTAAAAGAATTAGCCTGACGCCTGTAGAGTGTAGATAGCAAAATGAATTCAATCTAAAGGCTGCAAGTCTGTGACAACTAACAGACAATGAGCTTTCCATTGATGCCATGAGTTAGAAAAACAAGCTGTTGATAAGACCCCTATATAGGAAGCTTTTTTATTAAGGCAACTCATTTTCTCGATAATTGTCCTGGGGGTGCTATTGACACTTATTATTGTCACACCGGTAGCTGGCTGATATGACCAGCATTATACAGCAGCCAATACGGACACGGTAGCAAGTATCCAAGTGGCCGCCCGTCCCGTCCCTAATCGATCGTCGCAACAGGCGCAACAGCACGGCCGCAATGCCGAGTCGACGGTGGTAAAAACACGAATTAGGCCCACCACTGTCTGTGAGGCTGTCGGTGGACATACAGCGAAATAACTCCGTAAATGCAGCCTAATTGGCGGCAAAACCAATGCTCGGGTGTTGAGCCGTAGCTAATGGCTGAAACAGACTCAGCGAAAGGGTGCGGTCGTGGACAGCGCTTCGCAGATGGGTTATTATAAGACAAAAACATAAAATCAAGTTGGGTTAGCATAAGATACGGCTGTACCTATTATAGAGGCAAGCCCGAGAAGCGCAAGGACATTCCGGAAATATTTATGATATAATCTTAGGAAATAACCATGATTGATGGAAGCGTTAGCATCTTGCGTAAGTAAATTGTCTTGACTTGTTGCAGCGAATACCGTCCCACCATTCCGAGTTGAAGTTAGAAAACGAATGTCTGTGTAATTCGATAAGTAGGGGAGACCCGGGAGGTATGGGCCGGTTTTGTGAAAAGGCAAATTTCTTCCAGTGGGCTGTGGCTAGACTCGGTTTTTCACTCTGTGTACGTGAAATTGCCTTTCGCCTGCATCGTGTGCCTGAAATTAGGCATCTTGGATCAAGTATTTTGTCTCGAGATAACTTTCAATAAATCATGTGCTTTTTCGATCCATCAAAATGCACCGGGAGGTATGGGCCATGGCTCGGGAGGTATGGGCCGGTACCATGTTTCATATTATTTTCTCGACAATGAGAATAATACTCGTAGCTGGTATCTACCTCGATCTCTCTTAGAGCCCAGGAACCGCATAAGTGGCCAACAGCTTGCTTCATGGAGGTCACTTGGGCCCATATGTATTTTGGTAAACTCAATCATGCGCCATGAAATAAGATGAATAATATATTTCTGTTCGAATAAAAATTTGAAGTTAACTTTTCGACCTAACGCGACAAAAATAAAACTTATTGACGGGGACATTTAATGAAAGCATCCTTTTATTTATTTAGGATCACCGGGAGTGAGTGGCCCAAACCTCCCGGTTAGGACGCCATAATGTGCGTAGCATCTCAGCTCATAATCTTGCAAGAAAGCTTCTTGCTGTCTATCCAGTCTTAATTTGCATGCTTTAAACTTTATGCTAGCGATGGTCTGACATCATAAAACGAGCCTGGCTCAAATTTATCACGAATTTTCTGTATGTACCGTATTTTACTCGAAAAGGGCAAAAACGCTTTATCGCCGCTCATTGCCATAGAAGACTGAGGAAGGTTTTGAAAATCACGTGGGATGTAATCACTGAATGGCTGCTACCAGTTAACGCCGTCAAATGTGTAAAAATACGCAACACTTCTTCAAAACTGCGATGGCCCATACCTCCAGGGGGCCCATACCTCCCGGGTCTCCCCTAATTATCGTACCGGCCACAAAAGTAGGTATACCTACTTGCACTGTGCAATGTGCATCAATACAGTAAGCTGCAAGTAGTGCCGCTACCTGTGTTCGCTATGGTGTTCGCATTCAAACATTGTAGGAGGAAGACAAATGAGAAATCATCCATAGCAGCGTAGCTCAAACATTCCGGTAAAACAGGAAGCCCATCTCGTTCGTCTCCGAACCGTCCACCAAACTGACGCGAGTCACATCGCAGGCGTTTATTGGTCGCGGTACTGATTACATCAGCGTGACGGCCCGACGGCGTCACGTCACATCGACACGAGGACCACGGAGACATGCAGAGAGCTGCGTGCGCGCGCCGCATGGCGGCCGCGGCGGCCCGACAGTTTGATATTACAACACAGCCATCCCTCGATACACGGACTGCCTATGGAAAAATACCCGGCGAGCGAGCGAGCGAGCGCCGCGCGCCGCGCGCAAAGTACCAAACCATCAGAAGAAAACACGACGAGCCCTTCCCGGGCATAGCTAATGACACGGACGAGACAGTTGAAGCGGCGGCGCCTGCCGCGCCGGGCCGGCGAGCCGTCTAACACAGCAGCGGTTCACGCGGGCCACCGTGAACGCTGAGAGCACGGACAGCCCGCCAACGACGGTCAGCCGCCGAGACGCCACCGTGGCCGAGCCCCCGCGCTGTCTCAGCAGCTGACCGGCGCCGGCGGGCCGTCAAATCTAGTCTGTACACAAATATAGCCCGGGACGAGTCGGCCCGACGTCTGTACACAAACAACTGCGCGCACGGCACCACACCAGACCGGAACAATAATCAGAAATGCCATCTCAGGTCGGCCGCAGAGTGCGGCGCCTCTCCAGTCCACTGAATAAACCCCGCTGGGGGAAAATGCACCTGTACGACCGGCAATTACAGTAAGCCTAAGTACGTCGCGGATAGAGCTACACGGGGCCGCCGCTGTCCATAGCACAGCGGTCGGCTGGAAAGAAGGGTCCCTTGATTAACCAGCGGACAGCAAGTGTGACCAGCCGGGGCTGCCCGGCGGACAGTCAGTGACCCAGCCGGGACTGCCGGGTGGTATTTTACTCAGCTGTGGCGGCACAGAACCGTTCCCACCGCTGGGAGCCGGCGGCGGCAGATATCCGACCGCCCTATACAATACAATAGACAGGCCCGGACGACGGCCGGGTCGCGGAGGGGCGGAACGCAATAGGGAGGGACACCGACAGACGACGCACCACCGCAGTGGAGCGCCCGACTCGTCACACTTTCAGACGGCAATCCAACCGAGAGGCCGTCACAATCACACGTCACAACCAGGCCGCTAAACACTGACACACTCACCCTGCTCACTCACTCACTCGCTCTCATATGTAACTCAAAACCATCCCAGTCGAAAGATCAGAGCAGAGTCTCCCCGAGTACCACCTGTCCAGCGATTGTCCGCGCCGACAGAAACAATCGTACAAACACACACATACGATCACATCCTCTGACAGCCACACATACCCACACACCACAGCAACGCACATACACTTACACAGCAACACCCACAATCGCTCGCAGTCACACCTAAGCCAGATACAACCTGTGATAGTCATTGGCACCGAACGCAGCATTACACTTGGGACACTTGCGCTGTCGTGTCTCGTAGCGCGTGCGCAGACAGCTAAAGCAAAAGACGTGGAAGCATTTGGTGAGCACGGCATCCTTCCGTTTCACCTTGCAAGATGGACACGT